GGATACTCCACATTTCACTCCAACTTCGACCCCTACCAGCAATACAATGATATTCATCAGCTCCAAATTCTCTAATGCTTAATAATGTCCAACTTTCCCACTGTGGACAAGCTAATAGATGAAGAAAAATATCATTGTTACTTTAATTTGCATTTTCTGTTCTGATAGTGAGACTGTTAGAAACACACATTTCTTCTATGACAATTTTTTTCTCTTAATTTTACATATATACCTTTTAATTTTCATTGCACACCCTTTTAAAAGATAACTCACATGTCTTTTAAGGTCTGTTTACATGCTGGCTTGTTCAAGGAACGTGTTTATATTCTTTCTGAACACAGTTGGATATTACATTATCACTTGGATGGAGTTTTCGGTATGTTTGTCTTGCCTTCATGAGTCAAATTAGTGGTTTTTTTGAAGTTCCATCTGGCCATTTTCATTCCTGTTCCCTTTGACCTACAAAACATAATGTCTTAGACTAGGGTCTGCCCAAATTTGAAGCAATCACTGAAAGTACAGAAAGTTGATCATGGGCCATCAGTTCTTCATGGACACCGTCTTTCACCACTGTTACCCGATGTGCACATGTTGCTATGAAGTCTACATGGTGTTATTTGGATCCATGTTCACTGTCCTGAGAGATGCACTCACCAGAGTTTGGGGGCTAGGAACACTTGACTCAATCAAAGGAGACACTTAGGCGTGTGCGGAAGAGCTATTTGGGGAATGGGGGCATTCAGCATCAGTGGGTGGCTGCCTGGCAAGCTCCATAGGAGGCTTTCCCAGAGCCTACATTTCAAAAAAAATTCACTAGCAAATAATGCCACCCAGTAACAAACGCTCTCTGAGTTTCCCAGTCAGATCCCAATGTCATTCTTCTTGTTCTAAATGCAAACATTTATTATGGGCTTATGGTATACAGTTGTTATGTAAAGGATTATAATAAAAATCTTGATTAAAAAAACTGTTGTCAGGATAAAATTCAGTGTCAGCAGAATTCTTCAGATTTATTTATTTTTATTGAAAAGGCAGATTCACAGAGAGAGAAGGAGAGACAAAGAGAGAAAGATCTTCCATTTGCTGGTTTATTTCCCAAATGATCAAAATGCAGGAACTGAGCTGATCTGAAGCCAGGAGCCAGGAGCTCTCTCCAGGTCTCCCACACAGGTGCAGGGTCCCAGGGCTTTGCCCATCCTTTGCTGCTTTCTCAGGCCACAAGCAGGAAGTTCAATGGGAAGTAGAGAAGCCAGGGCACTAACCAATGCCTATGTGGCATGTTGATGCTTATGGGGGAAGATTAGCCAATTGAGCCATCTCTCTGGCCCCAAGCAGGATTCTACAAATGGTTCTTCTTCTTCCTTTTTTTTTTTTTTCAAGATTTATTTTCTTTTTGGAAAGGCAGATCTACCAAGAGACAGACAGAGAGAAAAATCTTCTGTCTGCTGGCTCACTCCCCAAGTGGCCACAATGGCTGAAGGTGAGACAGAAGCCAGCAGCTTCCCCCAGGTTTCCCATGTGGGTGCAGGGTCCCAAGGCTTTCAGCCATCCTCAACTGCTTTCTTAGGCCACAGATAGGAAACTGGATGGAAAGTGGGGCAGCCAGGACATGAACCAGTGCCCACATGGGATTCTGGTGGTTGCAAGGTGAGGACTTTAGCCACTAGGCTACTGTGCCAGGCACGTAATCCTACAGATTCTTTAAAATGCACATCAGGTTCCCCTGAAAAGAATCCAAGTGAATGTCTAAATTCTTCGTGTTTTAGAATCCTGCAAGTCAAGTATTGCTTCAAATAAGAAATTTGCTGACTCCAATGGAACATTATACTAAAATAATCATCCTAAAACTCATTCTTGGCAAGCTGTATTTAAAGACTTATGACCTTGCAGAGATTTTCTCTATCAAAAAGCATTGGGACTTTGGCTTCAGCTGGACCTGACATCTGCTACAGCTTCATTTGTAGTTTCCCCGGCTGTCCTTTGCGAGCATTTTGTAGTGAACAAATTTAAACTTGTCTGGGAATCAGTGCGGTAAATAGGACTGCTCTAGATAAAACACTCAGTGAATATTCCTAGCAAATGCTGTATGATGCATCACTGCTTTCAGCTATCAAATACATTTCTAATTTTGGATGGAGGCAGTGCAGCCCCATAGGAAAAAATATTCTAAAGACACACACATAAGAGGCCCGTCGCCATGGCTTAATGGCTAAATTGTCTCCTTGCATGCACTGGGATCTGATACAGGACCTGGTTCATATCCTAGCTTCTCTGCTTCTCATCCAGCTCCCAGCCTGTGGCCTGAGAAAGCAGTGGAGGATGACCAAAAGCCTGGGGACCCTGAACTCGCATGGGAGACCTGGAAGAATCTCGTGGCTTTGGCCCAGCTTCAGCTGTTGCAGCCACTTGGGGAGTGAACCAGTGGGTAGAAGATCTTTCTCTCTTTATCTCCTTTCTGTAAATCTACTTTTCCAATAAAAATAAATAAATCTTAAAAAGAAAGAAACATGCATTAGGAAATTCAGACTTAGAAAACAGATGGCTGGGAGATCCTTGGTAGATGCTTCCTTCCACACAGGCACTTGGGTTTGCACCTTATTACTCAGGCCACAATTTCAGGTGGCAGAAAGTTCACAGTGGGTGCCAGTGTGGTGCAGGAGAAGATAGATCCCTTGGTGCCAGCATAAGACTATTCCTCAGAGTTCCTGTGCACTATTTTCTCTTCTTTAAAAACACCTAGTTCATTACCTTCATATAGTCTATGTAATTGCCATCTCTCCCTTAAGGTCATTGCCATGGATGAGGAAACATCGGAGGTCAGTCAGGGTTGCTGGTTCCTCTGTGTCTGTTACTCAAACTAAAAAGAAAGGACCAGAACATTTCATCTGAGCCACAGGAAAATCATAGCATGGAGGATAAATCGCAAGGGATGGCTTTGTGGATCTTAGTCATTTCCTGCTAGCCCTGAGCAGGTGTTGAGCACAGCTGTTCCTAGACCTGCTTCAACATTTGCACCACAGCAGCATGTGCAGCACTAACCATCAATGAGCTATGACTAGTAATAAACCTTCTTAAAATTATTATTTTTCTTATAAAGGCAGATTTACAGAGAGGAGAGACAGAAAGATCTTCTGTCCCCTGGATCACTCTTCAAGTGGCTGCTATGGCCAGAGTGGAACCAATCCGAAGCCAGGAGCCAGCAGCTTCTTCTGGGTCTCCCACTCACAGGTGCAGAGTCCCAAGGCTTTGGGCCATCCTTGATTCCTTTCCCTGGCCACCAGCAGGGTGCTGGATGGAAAGTGGAGCAGCTGGGACATGAACCAACACCTACATGGGATCCCGGAACATGCAAGGTTAGGATTTAGCCATTTGAGCCATTGCACCAGGCCCAAGTAGTAAAAACTCCTTTTATATTATACTGAGGCTGAGATGGGCTAAGTACCCTGCCCATGGCTAAGAGCCCTGCATTCTGGCTCAGTCTGGTAGAGTCCGCAAGAGGTTTCACCTGGATTCAGACCCAGGGCAAGATACTTTGGGACACGCCCTAGTCACCACATTGCAATGCCACTCCCACATTATGAGGAAGCAAGGCCTGTGGTGAAGAGAAAGAACCAAGACGCAGAACACTGTGCCTGCCATACTCTTCATTGTGTAGAATTAGGGGTGTCTGGGCCTACAGGAATAGCCTGTAGATGCCTAGACTATCAGGACGAAACACAGGGAAATAGTTAACACTGGAACCTTTTGAGAAAAGGCACAGGGAACAGAACCTCAAAGGTGAGCACAAGGCTTTGGATTGTTTTCTTTTGCTATGGGTGTCTGTTACTTTTCCTGAAATACAAATACACATGTCAAAGATCAGCTGACATCTCCTTATCAACTGGAGGAGGGGGAAAGGATGAAAGGAGGAAAGAGGAAAGGAAGCATGGGAGAGAAGGAGGAAGGAAGGAAAGAAGGAAGAAAAGAAAGAAAGAAAGAAAGAAAGAAAGAAAGAAAGAAAGAAAGAAAGAAAGAAAGAAAGAAAGAAAGAAAGAAAGAGAGAAAGAAAGAAAGAAAAGAAAGAAAAAGAAAGAAAGAAAGGAAGAAAGAGAAAGAAAGAAAGAGAAAGAAAGAAAGAAGAAAAGAAAGGAAAAAGAAAAGAACGAAAGGAAGGAAGAGAGAAAGAGAAAAGAAAGAAAGAGAAAGAAAGAAAAAAGAAAGAAAAGAAAGAAAGAGAGAGAAAGAAAAAGAAAGAAAGAAAAGAAATTAGTTAGTTCTTGTCTGTTTGGAACATTCTGAGTGATGAGGCTTACCTTGCTAAGAACATCTGGATCCTCTGTGTCTGGTTTCAGCTCTCTCATGCAGCTGGGCTTCAGTACTGTCACCCCAGGATCTTCTTTGAAGTAGAACCACACTTGCAAAAGAGTGAAAGATGAAGAAGAAAGAAAATGGGTCAAAGCTTTTGGGATTTTTATTTACAATAGGACTTAGAAAAATCTGCTTACAAAGCAGCACTGTGTGAGCTGGCTGGCACTGTGTGAGTTCCTAGCTCTGGAGGTCACAATAGCAAGTGCAAGTATGCCACAAGGGTTGTGGGGGACTCTCTGTCCAGGCCTCTCTCCTTGGCTTGCAGGTGACCATTTTTGCGTTAATGTGGCTTTCTCGCCACATGCCAACCTGTCCCAGATTCCTCTTTCTACCAGTGGATAGCAGTGCTCTGGGTTTAGTGCTCCTGCTGACAACCGCATTCTCAGTTGGTGATGACCCTGTCTCCGTGGGAAACCACTCTAGGTCCTGGGGTTAGGATAAGGGTTCAACACAGAAATTTTTAGAACTATGCTTTCAATGTTCCATTTTGATTTCTCCAAGGTTGACTTTGTGCTAATGCTTGGGCTGGGAGTTGAGTTTCTGGGCTAGTTAGTTTGGATGGAGAACGTGGTGATGTGACTTGTGACTTCAAGTCTAGGGGAAGAGGTGTCTCCGGCCTGCCCTTAGTGACAGCAATTTCCTCTGTTTTCCAGGTGGTACCATGGCAGCCTCACACGCCATGCGGCTGAAGCACTTCTCTTGTCCAATGGCTTTGATGGGAGCTACCTGTTGAGAGACAGCAATGAGCAAAGTGGTCTGTACTCACTCTCTGTAAGGTGAGGAAGTGAGGGACTCCAAGAATGTTGCCTAGGGTCATGTGTCACTTGTGGAGCTGAGCAGTACACACTCCACCAGCTCACCAGGCCCCAGCTCCAGGTTGGAGGATTCCCAACTCTGAGGAGAGACACTGTGAGACATGTCCCTGCTCCATCCACCAGTGGGAGAAACAACTGGAACAGGAGGAGCCTTTGGGAATCATTTCACCCAAACTTGCTGAAGATTGATGAAGAATGTGAAACCCAGATCGCAGGGGCATCTGGCACCCAGTAGCAATGAGAGTATAGTAACCCCAACACATTGCCAGGATGCTGCGCTGTGCTACAGGTACAGAAGCAGCTTGCAGAGTGGGGAGAAAAGGCAAGCAGGCTGGTAGGGCAGGAGGGAGAGATGAAAGGAGGAATGAAGGAAGAAAGGGAAGGAAGGAGCAAAGAAAGAAGGAAGGGATGGAAGGAAGGAGAAAGAAGGGAAGAAGAAAGAAAGGGAGGGAGGGAGGGAAGGAGAGAGGAAGGGAAGAAGTGATAGTCCAAGTACTTAGGAACCTTGTATCCATGTGAGAAACCTGAATTGCGGTCCAGGCTCCTGACATTGACCAGGTCAGACCCCATTGTTTTGATCTTTTGGGGAAGGATCAGCAATTAGGAGATCCCTCTATCTCTGTGTGTGTCTCTTTATGTCTACCTCTCAAATAAATAAATATTTATTCTTAACAAGAATAAATGCAACTATGTTACAATATATCCTATATAATACTTTAATAATATATTAAGTAAAATTGCCTAATTCTCCATTTCTAGAAAGAAATGGTTATTTTCCTTCAAAACAGATATTTTACTTGTTAAATATCATAACCATGTCTTTTTCCCTTTTCAGAGCCAAAGACTCTGTCAAGCACTTTCATGTTGAGTACACTGGATATTCTTTTAAATTTGGCTTTAATGAATACTCATCTTTGAAGGATTTTGTCAAACATTTTGCAAATCAGCCTTTGATTGGAAGCGAGACAGGTGAGCTCTGAACAGACAGTTGAACTGGGAGATGCTGCTGCAGCATAAGGGAGGATCAAGACAGATTTCAATGAACGAATGTCATAGTTGTCATTTCTGAATTGTATCATATGCTGTGCAATTTGATATGCTTAGAAACATTTTGTCTAGTGCTATGTCATATACTACAGTAATAAAATATATGTCTTAGTATTTAAGCATTAGCTTTAGAAGAGAACAATTTTGTACAAAGTAGATATTTTCTCTAAATGTGCTCTTTAATGGACTGATTTTGCATTGACTAAAAGCACACACTTTTTATAAAATGGTCTACACATCTCATAGTTTTGATAATTAAAAACAGAAAGGGCAAAGCCAGTAAGGACTTTGTGGTTCCTCATAAACTCATATGTGGGCAATTTGCACTCGGGAAGAAAGGAGTTGACTTTAAGATTTGGACACTGTTCTTACTTGAATTGCCACCGAGATCACTGAGTGCTACAAATACCAATGACAAAGTGCTCATCCAAGCTAAGAAGTTATTTCTATTGTCTCACAAGTTTTAAATGTCTAAGTTCAGCAGCAAATGAATACATTTTACTAAATGAACAGAGAATCAAATCCAAAAAATATGTGGTTTCAAGAAATGGAAAATAAACACACACTCTTCTGGTGCCTAACATATCCAACTTCTCTGTGCAGAGTAGTTCAATGAAGTTAGAAAAAGCTTACCATTCCATTTGTGATTCAGAATTACACTTTTTTTTTTGGTCCTAAATGATCGTAAATCTCAGTTAATCAGATGCCAGGAAATTCCAAGAACTTGTGGCACAGGACTTAATCACAAGCCGATTACCCTGTATTTGTCCAGACTTGTTTTCTTGGTAAATTTGCCTGTGGGCTTTCTGCTGACATCAGTATGGCAGGTTGAGATGCCATCGTTGGCTTTCCGCCTTTTCTGAGAGCTCTGTGGCCAGGATAGACCCTGCTGTGAATCACACAGCTTCTTGTGTAGATGAAAGGCAGATTCAAACCACAAAACAGTGGCTTTGCTTTTCACTGACCACACATTGGCCTGCAATAGAACATTTTAAATTGTGAAATTGACACTACAAGCATTTTTAAGATTTTGTTAGGGTTGAAAATTCTCCCAATTAACCAGGAAAATCACTTCACTATTTAACTAGCAGCTATCCTTATAAGAACTTAAAAAAAAAAATTAGAGTTAAAAAATAAATCTATTTTGGTGCAAAAATATTAAAAATGTACATATAGTTTTCTCTATAGTATGCATTTTCTATAGCTTTTTGAAGACCCTTGTACTTATTTCCACTGTTAACCTTGGTCTTGGTAAGCATTTTGGTTTCTAAAAAAAATTTGTTTTCACTTCAAATGACTCATTGCTTGTGTCCAATTTTACACTTGATAGTGTTCAATTCTGAGATGCTGGCAATAGAGAAGAGATTTTGAAACCAAGTCTTTGTTTTATCACCTTTGTTCTTGTCCTCTCCATGCCTGCCATGTGTGGTCTGGTGACTATTTTGTTCATTGGATGAATGAATAAATGAGTGAATGGGAGATCATGAATAGGAACTCTGTGTGGCCTTCAAAGCTGTTGTTATTCTTCTACCTTCTCTCCTATCTCTAAACAAAGTCAGCTCCATTCTTTTAAATTCTTCTATTTGTAAGTCCTTTTCTACTCATTCTCCGTACTCCTTCCTGTCTGTCTACAAGTTAGAGAACATATACAGATTCTGTCTGAAGGCAGATTGGAAATTGCAAAGCAGTTTGAGACCTGCATCCTGGCTGAAATTTTGTGGCACTGACCCAGTGATGATTGGGCAAGAGGACCACTTACATCTTCTCTAAAGTAGAGGTGCCTTGACATTGCACTTGGGACAACGTTAAGTTTAATACATTGTCCTGATTCATGAGTTGGGAATCATAAGGATTTCTAGCCTAGACTCCTATAGTAGTTTCTGCAAGGACTTGCTGTATCATCATTATTACTATGATTACTATTCTATTCATCACAGTAAAACTTTAGAAACCAAGATTTTCATCCTCTTGACTTGTCTTCTGTTTGAACTTGTGCTAGGAATCCCTGATACTGAGGGATAAATACTTGGCTTGTAGGCTTCAAGCCCTGAGTGATGTTCCACTGACTTGTATTCCTCTTATCAGTCCCAGCCAGAGGAATGCAAAGCCTGGGGGAAAGAGGCAAAACTCATGACAGATAAGTGTTCTAATCTTGGCCTTGTGGGAGTAAGAGGCCTCAGGAAAGCAAGATAGCATGCTGGAGTCATGATGACTTCCAAGCCCCAGAAGCTTCTCTGAAGTCACCCTGTCAATAAAGCAAATGGAAACTGGGAAGCCACCTTCCAAAAATAGGTCTTTTCTTCTTGACCATGAAGACTCAGTGCTTGGTGGTAGCTCCCAATGAAGTGATCAGGAGATGTCAGGTTGGTAATTTCTTGCTTAAAAACAGAGAGAGAAGTTTCTTCCAGTTTTACACCTAATCAAGATCATTAGAGAAAGCATTTGCACAGTGGACCCAACCATGCTAGGGTTCTCACTGCTGGATTGGTTGAACAGGAAGGACTAAAATTACAGATTCCAGGCCACTCTTGTCAGCCAGATCCAGATCTGGGTAGACCCCACAGAACCCAGAGAGTATGTGTATTAAAGAGGCTTTCTGACATGTATCCACTCACAGGAAGAGCATGACTCCTATGGACAATGGAGATGATGCATTAGTCACCAAGCTCATCGACCTCTGCTTTAGAACGCTACACCGTCTTCACTAGAGTGGAACCCATAGTGCTTGGTTCTGGCCACAAGAAAAATCTTTGTATCTTTGTAATAATCCCTTAAAGAAATGAATACTATTTTATGCTTTTTCCTATGCTACTGTCCAGTCTTTAAGTTGTCTGTATTTCTGTTTTTTGTTTTGAAGACCAAGGGCTTCCTAGACACTACGTAAACCTGTTTCTTTCCAACTTTGATTCTGTTATTATAACTTCCCATTTCCCTTGCCGTTTCATTAATCTCCATTAAAGCTTCTGTTTACTCTGCTTTCTCCTTATTAGCATTCATGAACATTTAAGATGCTTCCAGTCCTTAAAAACCAATAAGTTCCCAAGTATGTGATGGAGATACAATACACTATCTTGACTTTCCTTTTGCCTTATTAACGCATCACATAATGTGCTTTATTTTTTATACTAGAATATAAACTCTCCAAGGAACGGAATTTGTTTTTTGAATGTTGTTTCCTGATAATGTTCTATAACTGGAAAGAACAAATGCTAATCGTTTTCACACTCTGCCATATCTCATATCCACTATCAATGCCTACCTTGAAGCTCGAGGGAAAAACCACAACCAGTAAACCTGTGACAATTTTAACTTCTAAAGTGGAGACAAAGCAGAATTTGAGATGATGTTTTATGTTTCATGTGTGCTTAGTGTTGCTCAAGTTCAGAGTTTGCCTTTGGCAATAGTAGGATATTAAATAAAATTATACTCATATCTGTACATGAATTGTAAACCCAAATTAGTAAATCTTAAAAAAATGTTGTTATATAATCATATTTGACTCATTACTATTTTTTCTTATTGTATCTTCTTGAAATTAGCTAGCCAAGATTGGAGAAAGCTTGTCACCCTAACTGTATAAAACCCATGAAAACATTTGGTCTGGCTCTGCAAAACAGCTATAGGAGACCCTTAAAATGTAATCAATCTGGGCCCGGCGACGTGGCCTAGTGGCTAAAGTCATTTCCTTGAACACTCAGGGATCCTATAAGGGCGCCAGTTCTAATCCTGGCAGCTCCACTTCAGCTCCACTTCCCATCCAGCTCCTTGCTTGTGGCCTGGGAAAGCAGTCAAGGACCGCACAGAGCTTTGGGACCCTGCACCCGCGTGGGAAACCTGGAAGAAGTACCTGGTTCCCAGCTTCGGATCAGTGCAGCACTGGCCATTGTGGTCACTTGGGGAGTGAATTATCGGATGAAAGATCTTCCTCTCTGTCTCTCCTCCTCTCTGTATATCTGGTTTTGAAACAAAAATAAATAAATCTTTAAAAATTGTAATCAATCAATAGCAGGAGCATTTTCTTTTAAGATTTAGTTATTTTCATTGAAAAGTCATATACAGAGAGGAGGAGAGACAGAGAGAAAGATCTTCTGTCCATTTATTCACTCCCCAAGTAAGCGCAACGGCTGGAGCTGTGCTGATCTGAAGCCAGGAGCCAGGAACCAGGAGCCTCCTCTGGGTCTCTCACACGAGTGCGGAGTCTCAAGGTTTTTGGTCATCCTTGACTGCTTCCCCGGGCCACAGGCAAGGAGCTGGATGGAAAGCAAGACTGTCAGGATTAGAACCGACACCCATATGAGATCCCAGCACGTTTAAGGCAAGGATTTTAGCAGCTAGGCTACTGTACCGGGCCCTATAGCAAGATAATTTTTAAGCTGATAATATTATGTGTCCTATCAATGGTATAAATATCCAAGTGGCTCTTGGGAGACAGAAGGTTCCCCAATGCTGCAAGTCTTGAAAATATACCCAGAATTTATCTTTATGCCTAAATGTCCAAATATTATTACAAAAAAATTGCTTTGCCATTGCCTTTTATTTGTGTTCCAATACTTCTTTTTGTATGAAAATGTCAGGCATAATTCATCATACTGCTGTGACTTTATCAGCTTTTTAGCATGAGAAAATATGTCAAGTGCAGAGTTTGTACTTACCCTTTGTAATAGCTAGTTCTCAATTTTAAAGGTCCTATCTGGTTCTTTCCTAAATGTCACATTTCTGCTTCTCTTTTTCTTTTGATGTGGGGATTCCCAGCTCATTCACTAGCCCATTTGTGCAGGTGGAATTTTAAAATAGTGAAGTTTATAAGTTACGGAAAGGAAAAGAATGAAGCCAAAATCTGTAGAGTGTTTACTAAGTTCTGGGCTTGGTATTATATTTATTCACATATATCAAATTATTTAATCTTCTCAACCACCCTCAATAACATGTATGAGTTCAATGGTGCCAGCTTTGGATAAGGAGATAAAACATCAGACCTCCTTGCCCAAAGTTGCATAGCTCATAAACATTAGAGGTGACCCTGGAATCTAGGGGCTCTCGTCCTCAAGCAAGGTGCTTTCCATACCTTTTGCTGAGTGGCACTGTAACACTGTAATATGGTATTGAAGAACACTAATTTGACAGAAGACATGTAGAAGGTGGCAGGGCTATAACACTGTTTCAGTCTAGTTTGTGTTTTTGTTGTTGTTGTTGTTGTTTTGCAGTCTGCACTATTAGGTGTGGTGAGTGTTATAAACATGTTGTTCTGAACAAGATGAATCGGTTTGTATGAGTCGCTACTGTTATTTTTATTTTCATGCATTGCCCTTTGAACAATTATATTCAAGGAACTCTTAACATTTTTGCTGTTTGGAGGCAGGAATTTGGTAAAACAGTTAAGATGCTGCTGGGGATGCCTGTCTTCCATAGACGGTGCCTGGGCTCATGTGCCGGTTCTGCTTTCCGTTCCAAGTCAGCAGGTCATGGCTCCCTGAGTGGAGATTGGGGCTGAGTCCCTGACTCCCGTCTATGGTCAGGCCCAGTCTCAGATGCTGTGGGCATTCAGGAAGTACAACATGTGGCTGAACAGTATCTTGGCTCTCTGTCTCTCACTTTCTGTCTTTCTTCTTATTATTCATCTCTTTCTCTGAGTCTTTCAAATAAAACAAAAAAAAAAAAAAGAAAAGAAAAATGGGGGTAAAAGGAAGTAGGACATGTCTCTGGTTACTAAGCTTTCTGCTGTTTCCCTCCCTATTTATGAGTTTGAGTGTTTAAATTTGCAGGATATTAGATCTGGAAGGGAGCTGGAGGACTGTTGTAACTTTTACAAAAAAGAGAAACGGGCCTAGTGAGAAACACTGAAGCAAAAATTAGCATGTCTTCTCCGGTTGCTTCCTAAATAATCTGTTCCTTCAAAGTTTGATTTATACTTGTGAACCCTCAACCCACAACAGCGAATAGCATTTCACACGCCTTTGAGGTTGCCATGGTGATCGCACTGAGGCTGAAGATAATTATGGTGTAATGAGTAAACACATGAATTCCCCATGCAGTTTCTGGCCCTTGGCATTTGCCAGCTGTGTGTTCTGAGGCAAATTATGTAACCTCTCTGAATTTCCATTTCATCATCTTGTAGAATTGAGCTGATGGCAATAGTTCGTACTTTAATGCCTGATGATGATTGAGGGAAATTAGACATGCAGAAGATTTAGGATTCTTGGCTTAGTAAAAGTCAATATTACTGTTATCTAATGAATCTCTTTTTATAATCATCAATTCCATCAGATTCGATACAAGAGCTGTACATCCTTCAGTATGTCACGAAAAATAGTTCAGGAACAACTGATTTATGTTTGTCTAATGCTTGTGATGTCACCTTCAAATTTTAATCCTACTCCATACGATTAAATCTACTACTCCATGGTAGACTCATAGAAATGGCAGAATCAAGGAAATTCTCCAGGAAGTGTGACCTAAATTTTTGAATAGAATCTTCTGTGCTGGCTAATGGCTCTATTGCTTCGCCTCAATGTATTTCTTCCTGTGAGCCCAGGAATAAGATATAACAGCTTGTTCATTTTAAAGTGATTGAGCAAGGGTTAAGTTTTGTTTGCAGAGAAAGAAGGGAAATGATTTCAAATGTTCCTGTTGCCATCTCCTTCCCAAAAAATCACTTCCAATTGGCAGGAGACAGCAGCCTGTCATGCCAGTTTGTTCTTTGCATTAATGAACGTGGAACTGGTCTTGTTTTTATTCAACAAAAATATATATATCAAGTGTCAACTGTGAGATGGACAGGAATCAGATCTAATTCATTCCCTTATATACCTTACAGGCCAGATGGAGAACTGGATGGGTAAACATTGGCCAACTATATAAAACTAAGCCTTTGTAATCAAGTGTTTCCCTGTAGGAGCTGTGTGTGTTCTCCAGATACCAAGCCAGTGCCTGAGGCTTGTTCTTAACTTATTTCTGAACTCCTGCTGGAATACAGGAGTCTGTGGGGGCAAGCATACTATTGCATACAGAGCTACAGGTGTGACAATTACAGATACCTGAGTTATTGTTCAGTCAAGAGAAATGGGAAGGCCCGCCTTGCTCTACCTCTGACCATCTCAAAAATATCCCGTGGCTGAGTGTGTGCCAAATCAGGTTTCACATGAAAGGCAGGAAACAGAAGCTACCTTCATGTAGCTCAGAAGCTGAAGTGAAACTGACAGCCAAGTTTCTAAGCTCTGTGGTGGGTGATCTTCTTCCCTCTTCTTTCTCTTCCACCTCTGCCTCCAATTGTCACTTACCAGAGTTTTCCAAGCAAATCCTGGAGTTCTTTTGATCTGAAGATCACAAACGCAGAGCTGTGGTGCTGATTTGGTTCTTGGTGGGGGGAGATTAATAATGAGTCTGCATCAGCAACTTATAAGTTCCTTTTGATTGCTAATAACAAAAACCAACTCTGGCCAGTTGAGGGAGAAACAAAGAGGAATCGAATTTTCTAGAAGGATGTTCTACATCCTTCCAGAATTCAAGGGGAAATGGAACAAACAAGAGACAATAAGGAATCAGCTCAGTAATCATGGCAACTATGGGGCTTTGAAAATGAAAATGCTTGCCTTGAGGCAGTTCTGATCATGTCAAAAATGTCTCTCCACTGAGAGTTCCTGAAAGCAGGTTGCATGTCACAGAGAGGAGATAACTGAAACTCCATGTAGCTTAGCAACTGAGGTTGGTGAACCCTCTCTCCAGATGTGAGTCAGTGGATGCCCGGGTAGTGATCTGAGTGTGGCCTGAGGTGGAGAGTCCAGCAGGACTGAGGGCACTTCTCTGAGTCCTGGGGGTGGGCAGTGTCCAGAGAAGAGGAAATACCTGTCAGCTCCACAGCCAGAAGCCTGTCCGTTGGCTCATTCTGGGGCAAAAATGATCAGCTAAAAGGATCTGCCAGATTTTTATCATTTTATGAGGAGTTTTCCTTTTTCTCGTCCTGAAGTTCAGCTCACCCTCACTCATAATCTTTCTACTTAAAAATCAATGTAAATTCAAGTCTATCATCCTGGTATACTCAGAGCTGCCCTCACTTTAGCTTCTGCTGGATTGATCTTCAGAAGATGGTTGTGGAACCTTTGGGTTCACCATGCCTGCATTCCTGAAGTTGCTGTTTTGCTCTTGCCCTACATCAAAGTAGATGTGCACAAAGGAGGCTGGCTAACCTGCTTCTTCCTTGAGTTGAGCTGGAATTATTATCACATTCATTCATCCACTCATCAACATTTCACCATTTCAGAAATGATCAGAAGATGGAGATACCATGATATCTGAGATGTCTCACCTTCTCTGAAGGGACTCCCAGAGTTTGAGAATGTACTTGCTGGCATGACAACAATTTCCTAATCCCATGGTGGTTATGGCACTGCAGGCTCAAGTAGCCCCAGCCTGCAGATCCTTCCACTGCAGCACACCAATCCCTGTGTCTTTGCTTCTCTCCCAGGGACTAAGGCTGTGATCTTATCTGTTACAGGCATCCTCATGTCTCCCTAGGTCTGTGAATGTGAAAAGGGAATTGAGTTTGCAGATTAAGCTCATCAGATAACTTTGGGAATGGTGGTTACTCTAGATAATCCAGGCCTTCATTGCAATCACCAGGTCCTTATCACTAAAAGGTTGGGGATGGAGGACTAGACATGGCAGGAGAAGGACTTGATATGCTGGCTTTCAAGACTAAAGAAAAGAGTTAAAATTCAAGGAATGGGTGCAACATGATGGCTCAATTGGCTAATCCTCCCTCTTTAAATGCCAGGAGCCCATATGGACCCTGTTTCGTGTCCCTGCTGTTCCACTTACCATCCAGCTCCCTGCTTGTGGCCTGGGAAAGCAGTGGAGGACTGTCCAAGGCCTTGGGACCTTGCACCCATGTGGGAGACCTGAAGGATGCTCCTGGCTCCAGGCCTTGGACTTGTTCAGTTCTGGCCATTGCGGCTACTTGGGGAATAAACCAGCAGATGAAAGATCTTTCCTTCTCTCCTTCTCTCTGTGGATCTGCCTTTCCAATCACTTGTTATTTAGTGATAAACACAGTCTTGTGAAGAAAGCATGATTATTCCCAGTACTCAGGGGAGGATCCAGCAGACACAACCGTGGTGCCCTGTGAGTTGGGCCAGTAACAGTAGCAGTTGCAAGTTAAGCCCGTGCACTGCTTGTGCATGCCGTGCTCTGTCCAACAGCAGCTGATGGCAGTCCCTTGTTGGAGCTCTTTTTCCAGGGCAGGTCACACAGGAGCTGGCCTGAACCTCTCCACGTGTGTGCAGTGGCACTGCAGTACACACACAGCCCTGAATCTGCACAGCAACTGCTCTGGATTGAGGCGTCGCCACTTTCGTTCTGACTGAGCAACTGTAACCAGCCCTTTCTCCTTACATGACTGAATCTGTTCTCATGAAAAGATCTCATTGACAAGAAAGCATAGGCAATGTACCAGAGGAATGGGGCCTCTGAAACTACTCAAGCCGTTTTTCATAGTGAGCTCTCCTATGTTGCTATAAAATTGGACAGAGCACGAGATGGGGGCCAGGGTGCTCACTGTTCTCTGGCGTCACCATCAGAGGTCCTCTTTTGGCCTTTCTCAATGGACCTCTTCGTTCTACAGCCCCACATTATTGGGGCATTGGTATCATAAGCTGCAGTTCTGATTTTACATCAGGCACTGTATGGATTCAAATATCATCAGACAACTTTTGTGTAGACTAATAATCTGGTACAAATGTCATGAATATTAAGCTTTAAATTTTGTTTTTGCTAAAAAGGAGGTATCTTTTCTTTTCTTGTTTTCTACCTTTGCTCTAATTCAGGATCTAAACTTCTGTCAACTTTCAAAGCACCTTTTCAAGGAAGCTGTCCCCGATCAGTCATATCAAATATTACTCTCATCTAGCCGCATCCTTTTCATTCATATATACATATGATTGTATTTGAAAAGCACAGTTACACAGAGAGAGGAAATATATAAAGAAAAAATCTTCCATTTGCTGATTCACACCCCAATGGCCAAGGGAGGAACTTGGTCTCTGACATGGGTGGCAATGGCCCAAGCTACTTTCCCAGGCACATTAGCAGGGAGCTGGATAGGAAGTGGAGCAGCCAGGACTTGAACTGGTGACCATATGGGATATCGGGACTTCAGATGGCAGCTTAACCTTCTACACTACAAGGCCAGTTCCACCCTTTTCAGTCTGTATCCCTTTTCCCTGCTCTAAGCATTATTCCATAGCACTGCTTGCACCTAATATACCATCTTATCTTTTCTGGCCTGTTCTTTTCTTTTTCTTTCCCATCTTTTCCATTTATTTTTTAGTTGACCTACCAAGAACACAAACTGTGAGAGCAAGTGTTGTATCTCTAGCTAAGTGACTGGATTTTCAAAATCTCCTCTGTGTCAGATATATAATACGAGATTTGCCCTATAAAAATCTGAAATCTGTGAAATAAAGCTAGAAACTAGAGCATGGGAGAAAAAAACCAACATACTGGCTTTTTTTTTTTTTTTGTCTAAGTTTCTAATTTCTGATTGACTGGCTAGGGGGAGGGCTAGAAGGGAAATGTCCTCAGTGTTGTCTCAGAAGTACTCTGTGCCTTTGAAAAAAGTTCCCAAGCTACTTGACCTGAGCCCTTTAGCTGTTGAGCCCCTCTTTTCCACTCCCCCGATGGAGATGGAGATAACCAAACATGAGCCCCACGGTACCTCTCATGTTCTCCTAAGGAAACTGAAGGCCTTCTTGAGTCAATTTTGATTGGATGGTGACAGAGAGAGAGATGAAGGCAATGAGTCCACTGTTTTGAGATCTATTGATTTGTAATAAGGTTGTTCTAAACTGGCAACAAATCAGAGCAGTGGAAGAGTCTGCCTCTCTCTCAGGGCCTGTCTTCAACTTAGTTCTCTTGGTTTTTGCCAAGCCCATTTGGAAGGCTTGCAGGTTTCACATGGGGACTGTTTCGGCTGTTAATATCTCTAGAACACTTCCCTAATTCTTTCCACAGAAAGTTCATGAGGGTCTCCCACAAGCAGTGATCAGATGTGGCTCACGTTGGCGCCATGAGTCTCCTCATCACGGTCTTGTGTGTGACTGTATCTGTTAATGGTGCTGAGCACTACAAGGCCAAAAGTGTTTTTTCATGTTTTATATCTGAGAGTCCAGAGTAAGTGCCTGGCACACAGTTGGTATTCAATAAATGTGGAGAAAACAAAGCAGGAAATATGTGAAAAGCTCAAGAGACTTTACTATCCAGGTGCAGCTGTCCAGTTAGCATTGGACTCTACTTCTGCAGACACTCTTTGATCCTTTATGTTTTTGTCTTCATTTAGGCAATCTGATTGTTCTGAAACACCCCTATCCAAGACAAGTGGAAGAACCTTCCATTTATGAATCTGTCCGAGTTCACACAGCAATGCAAACGGGCAGAACAGAGAGTGACCTTGTGCCTACTGCACCTTCCGTAAGTGACCATCAGCTTGACCACAAGCTCTCACTCAAACAACCATAAAGTGCGATAAGAGTTAATCCCTTTAGTCATATCTCAAGTGCAACTTAGCATATAAAAGTTGAAAAGTAACATAAGGTTCCACCTCTTACTCAATCCCTTTTGTGCAGGGTAAGTCATAAAAAGTACCATTCATTGGTGTGAAGATTTTAATATTTCGAAAATGACACTTCAATCTCTGACTTTAGTTAAATATGCTCTTTGTCCAGTAAATGAAAGGTGTTTGTTCCTGCCTGGTTGACTAAGCTGTTATTCACGGACAAGTTTCTTATATTAATAAAAACCAATTGTTTTGAGTTTTAGCAGGGAGAAAAAAAATTCTCTACTTTCACTGTGAAAATTTAGGATGTAATCTTTCTTAGTCGGTTTGCCTTCCCTGATAGAAAACGCTTGCCCAGCAGGAGCCATTGGTAATTGAACTCTCCAGGAAGCTCTCAACTACGAAGCTCTGTGTGCGTAGCCCTGCACAGCTTCCTCCCTGGCACAATCTTCTTTTCAATACTCTCAGGGGTCTTCTGTTATTGTCTTTTCTTTGTTGAATATTCCTGGAAAAAGCCACCTAGATTTGTGCCGCTGATAAAGGGGACAATTCCCAAATGAAATACCAAGAATCAATTCTAGAAAGCAGTTATTCCACTTGAAAAAGAATCACTTGAAAATATGCAGCTGTAAATTATTAAAATATGTGTGACCCTTTTTGTGCTCTGCAGTACTTTTGGCTACCCTACCACAAGCTAAGTCTTTATAAAAAGCAGATCCACCCCATCATGTGTCTGCCCTCAGTTCTGCAATGATGCCCAGGAAATTCATGCCCACCTGGACCCTATTTGCCCTCTTAAGACTCATCTCCTACTCCCCCTGGCTCATGCTGAGAAACCCACTTCTCTCCACAATGTGCTTGTCTCTGAGCACTCCTTCTCCCTTCCCTGTACCTGAAATGCTAAGAAAACCATTGCTGGTCACCCAGTCCTCCAGACTGGGTCATTAGAGGTCAGGGTGTTCCAGGAAGCTTTCATTGGCACCACTAGTTTCTATTTTCAACGTCCTCTAACCCAGCAGCTTCTGTTTACTTTTGTACTGGAATGGTGATGCTGTGAGGTAGCCACCTGCACCTATCTGTCCTTCTCAGCAGCCCTACGTGAAAGCCATGAGTTGCAGCTTGACTTTGTTGGTCTTTAGGTTAGCATCGTTCATGCCACAAATTAAACTTTGGTTTCTTGGGTACATCTCAAAAACAAAACTTCTGAAGAGTAGTTGAGAAAGTTTGGCTTTGTTAAAATTTGGGGAAGGAGAACTAGCAAAGGGTAGGAAGGCAAGACAAGAAATAGCTCAAAGTTAGCAGGACCACTGAACCAATCAAGACCTAGCATTTAACCAGTTTTTCCCCTTCAGCCCATCCCGTAGTGCTTTCTTTACCCATCCTTAACCTACCACCAGTCACTTCACTATCTTGTTCATCAGCCCTCTTAGCATAACTCCACATGCTCCTCTGTTACACCTCCCTCAGGATCCACTGAAGGTCATCAAATTCTGTGCTTCCTTTATCAGTAGTAAAAAGCAGAGACAGTTATACTGTATTTGTCAGGTTCCTTGCAAACACAAGGTGTGGTATATTTGAGTAGAAACCAGCCTCTTTATAGCAAATGCTGGAAGCCTTGTTACTTATCTGCTTTATGTGGCAGAGACATCCACCTACCCTAAAGGATTTAAATGTGGCATTAAATGGAAAGGTCTGTATTACAATGGGGTTTTAATAGTGGTTGAGGATGATGAGATTTATGATATAGTGAGATACTGATGAACTTCACAGTGCATTAGTATGGACACCACACACTGAACAATACCAACAATAACAACTGTAAAAGCTTTTCAGCAGATTCTGAAATGTCTCTGCTTACTCCTTGCAATGAAATTCTCAATGGCTGTACCAGCAGGGCTGGGAAAAGAGTTCAGATCTCCCTGCCCACCCCAGATGGCCACATGGTACTGTACTTCCATCTCCAGTCTGTGAACATTGAATTCTTTCAGTGGTTTGCTTTGTCTTTGTCTTTCTTACCTTTTACTAGTGGAAGAGATTTAAGTCCTATTTATAGGAAAAAGAACTTGCTTGAAGTGAAAATGAAAGATGCCCTATTGCCTGTAATATAGATGATTGCCCAAACAGTTAACATCCTTTGGCAACTACCTTTGGGGAAGTTACAAAAATGCATTTTTGGTTTTCTTTTTAAGACTTATTTAATTTTATTGTAAAGGCAGATTTACAGAGAGAAGGAGAGACAGGAAGATCCTCCATCTGGTGGTTCATTCTCCAAATGGCCACAACGACAAGAACTGAGCTGAACCAGAACCAGGAGCTTCTTCCAGTCTTCCATGAAGATGCAGGGTCGCAAGGACCAACCTCTACTGGTTTCCCAGGCCACAAACAGGGAGCTGGATGGGAAGTGGAGCAGTCAGAACACAAGCTAGTTCCCTTATGGCATGCTGGTGCTACAGGGCAGAGGATTAACTTGCTATGCCATTTTGTTGGCCCCAGGATTATTTTTATAGGGAGGTAAGAGTTTCTGCTGAGCTGTTTGAAGTGTTGAAATGTACCAGTATTTTAGAATAACAAGTAAATTCACCACCTATGTTGTCAGCATCCCATATGGGTACCAGGTTGTGTCCCTGGCTGCTCCATTTCTAATCCAGCTCCCTGTCTAAGGGCATGGGCATAACAACAGAAATAGCCTAGAACTACGTCTGTGTCTCCCTGTGTATGACAAGAACCCAAGAAACAGAGCATCTGGGACTCAAACTAGGGTTCCCATATGGAGTGTCAGCATTACAAACAGTAGTTTAATCTGATGTGTTGCCACATCAATCCTTTAATCCTTTATTTTTAGCCATTTGGGTTGTTTCCAATTTTAAATTCCTCTAAATATCATTCCTGTAATGGATCATAGATTTTTTAAAAAGGGATAAATTGCTATGTGATTACTTAAGGGTCAGGCATTGTTACACAGAAAATTTAGCCAGCACTCAGGACACCCATAGCCCACACAGAATGTTAGTTCAAGTCCCTGTTTCTCTGCTCCCAATCCAACTTCCTGCCAATATATCCTGGGAGGCAGCAGGCGACTCAAGTGCTTGGGTCCCTGCCACCCTTGGGGGATACCAGGAAGGAGTTCCAGGTTCCTCACTTCTGCCTGGATCAACCTCTGATGCTATGCCATTTGGGAACTAAACCAGTAGATGGAATATATTTCTTTCTCTCATTCTGTCTTTCAGATAAACAGATGAATGTATTTTTAAAACAAATTTTTACTCTTATATCCTGACACTTTGCATAAAATCAATATTTTCAGGTCTTTTGTGTGTAGCCCTTCATTCACAAAAACCTTAGAAAAAATATCAGACTCCAGTATATTGTTTAAATGGAGGTAAGATCAAATGGGCAGCATTATTCATTCATTTGAGTTCAGTGACTAACTCTATCGAGGCTTTTAATACAGCCATTTGCTCATAGTTAGTTAACCTGCAATGTTAACTTTTGCTATTTTCACAATGCCTAATCAGTCACTTCAATTTCTTTAGCATCCAAACACATAAAATTGATTTGATGTGACATAAAATTCATCAATATTGTTCATTTTACTTAAATAAGCATTACAGAGGTTCACCCTTGCTTTTTTGCTATAAGAATTTTGGAAAAAGTGGTTACTTACTTTTATTTCTTGCTTAAACTCTTTCTACTGAAGCAGCAACAGCTTTTGCTTTGTTTTATTTTGTTCTGTTTGCAGAGAGAATCCACCTCAGTAAAAACAAACAAAACAAAAAAACAAAAACAAAAAAACCGGAAATTCCCATGGAAAGACCCATGATGTCAATCAAGTCATTTTCCAGTTTCTATTTACTTTTTTTCTTACAAAATTTACTATGATATCATAGTAGAACAAAAAATTCTATCAGGCCCCAATTTTTTCATATTTTGTATAATTGTATATTTTTCCACTCTAGGGTCTCATCTTATACAGATTCTATTCGCACAAGTTCCTCCACCCTTCTGCTAGCTAAGTGTGTGATGTTATGATTACCTCTTAGTGATATGCGACTTAGAAGAAATAACACATCCTCATTTCAAATCCCTTTTAGATAAATCAGATATAAGTACATGTGCACCTCTGGAAGTCCGTATTATGGATCTCACAAGAAAGCCTACAAAAGGCAGGAGTGGAAGTGGAGTGGGGACGAGGGGGAGGATCTAATATAGGAAGAGGAATTACATGGCAAAATGACAGAAATGTGGAAATACTGTTGCTAAGGTTTCCTCTTTAAATTCACAAGGCTGGATGGGCTTTTAGCCTTAACAGTTAAAGCGCCAGCTGAGCTATCTGGGTCTCTTTTCAGAATATGTGGGTTCAATGCCTGGCTCTAACTCTTGACTCCAGTGTTCTGCCACTGCAGACCCTGTAGGGGAGTCAGTGATGGCTCAGGTAGTTGGGTTCCTGTCTCCCATAGCAACATGTGGCTTGAGTTTCTGGTTACTGGCTTGGGTTGAGCCCTTTCCTGGCTTTTTCAGACGTTTGGAGGGTGAGTTCGCAAATATGAACCCTTTCTCTCTCCTCCCTCCCTTTTGTCCCAACCTCCTGTAGCGTCTCCATCTCAAACAAACAAACAAACAAACAAACAAACAAGTGTATTAGGATAATACAGACTGTGGGGAGCCCTGGATTAAAGAATACTTTTTAGTTTTCTTATCCCACTTTCCCAAATGTATTAACTATAGATGTGTGTATATGCATGTTTATGGGCTCATACCCCTGCAGTGTTTGAAGAAGCTGTGTTTCACATGTCACACAGACAACTGCTAACTTCTGGAGGGAAGTGATGGGCTTAATAGTTGGTAAAAGGCTAACCTGGGGAGAGAGAGCCTCTCCACTTGTCCAATGGTAAGTATTGACAGCAGCCAACGCAGTCTTTAGCTGTTCCCTGAGCCCACGGGTGATTTTCCGCTATGTGGGAGAAGAGTGAGAGGTGGCCGTTTGAGGATCAAAGACAATTTTCTTCATTTTGAACGAGCCAGAAATAGGAAAACAGATCTCACACTGACGCTTCTTGACTTTGTGCTTCTGTTTGTTTGTTTGTTTTTCCAGCTGGGCACCAAAGAAGGCTACCTCACCAAACAGGGTGGCCTGGTGAAGGTAAGGCAGTGTGGCTTAACTCAGACACCAAGAGAAAGAACGCGTCAGGCATTTTGGCATCATCTTGAGAATTCTTCTCTTTTTTTAAAAGTTTAGTTGCCTGATCATTTTGACCTATTTATAACATTAACCTCTTTCAAGAGTTCATTTTTATGGCTCCTTCATTAAAGTTCTGGACCATGACTTGACCCTTCTGTGGCAAAGCCATGTATGAGTAACCTAAAGCTCATTTATAGTCAAGAAAGCACCACCTTTGTCACAGAATGATTGAAGGTGAAGGCAGCAATTGAAATCTCTAGAACATTTCTTTATTTTTTAAAACAAAGATGTCAGCAGCATGAAAAATGTTTACCTAAAGGAACTCCCCCCTTGCTCAAATTCCTGGCATTAGGGGATAGTGTGGTGGTGGTATACAGGCTAATCCTTCGACTGCAGTGCCAGCATTCCATATGGGTGCTGGTTCAAGTCCCAGTTGCTCCACTTTCCCATCCAGCTCCCTACTTATGGGCTGTGAAGGCAGAGGAGGAAGCCAGCAATTACTCAGTTGGATTCCTGTCACTAATATAGAAGACCTGGATTGAAAGGAAAGAGAGTAACTTGAAAAGTACAATCACACCAAAGCAAGACTCAGGGTTATTCAAGGTTTTAAAATCCCAAACTAAATTTTCTTTGGGATTTTGCAACAATTTTATTAATACCATGAATTTTTAGAAAAGATTTATTTATCCTGAAAGAGTTACGAAGAGAGAAAGACAGACAGAGAGATCTTCCATCCACTGGTTTGCTACCCAAATGGCCACCATGGACAGAGCTGAGCTGATTTGAAGCCAGGAGCTTCTTCTCAGTCTCCTGTATGGGTTCAGGGACCTAAGGACTTGTGCTGAAACAGCTAGGGCTGGGCCAGGTTGAAGCCAGGAACCAGGAGCTTCTTCTATGTTTGTCACATGGGTGAGAGGGACCCAGGTACTTGGATCATCTTCAGCTGCTTTACCAAGAGCTGGATGGTAAGTGGAGCTGCCAGGACATGAACCTGCACCCATATGGGATGCCAGCATCACAAGAGGTGGCTTTACATGGTGCAGCACAATGCTGGCCCCATAAAATCATCTTAACTTTAATAGATATTATGGCATTTTTGTTCCTTAGAAATAACACAGAATATATTTCTAGCTGATTGTACCTAGTTGTTCTGAAACTTTTAAGAGTATCAATTGTTTAATTCAAATTGCATTCCTACCTTTTAAGCCTATTGTGTTGTTTTGTTTCTCAGACCTGGAAAACAAGATGGTTCACTTTACACAGGAATGAACTGAAATACTTCAAAGATCAGATGGTGAGCAGTGTGATAAAATGTTTTCTCTGTAAAGTACAGCTGTCTGCATGAAAGCCACATCTACCTTTGAAATCCCTGCAAACCTCCGCATCCATCCCAAGCACACAGCCAGTGGCTGCGGGCATGAGCCCTGACTGCTGAGATGGGGGAAGTGCTTGGGCCAAGACTGCAAGTACAGCTTCTCAAGACACAGCCTTCACTCTGTCCAGAGCAATGGAATTGTTCTCATGCCATAGTTTGTTAATCTTCTCTGCAGTAATTTCTCATTACTAAAAATAAGTTCATTTCATACAGCCAACTAAAAATTATTTCATTTGGGGGACTGGGGTTGTGACATAGCAGGTCAAGCTGCTATTTGCAATGCTGGCATCCTGTGTGGATGCCTGTTCATGTCCTGGCTGCTCTACTTCCAAGTCAGCAACCTGCTGATGCCCTGGAAAAAAGCAGCAGGGGATGGTTCAATTGCATGAGCCTCTGCACACAGGTGAGTGCCTGGATGAGGCTCTGTGCTTCTGGCTTTGGCCTGGCTCATCTCTGGCCATTGCAACCATCTGTGGGTGTCTGTAATCAACAGCACTTGAAAGATATATCTTTCAGTCTCTCCCTCTTTTGCCAACTCTGACTTTCAAATAAGTAAATATTCCAAATCATTTCATATTGCTTTCCTAATAGAAAATATCTGAGAAAGTACATATTTCAAGATATGAGAGGAAAAAAATTTTTCCTATACATATATTAAAATCTATCTCCTTATCATGACTGGATATGAACTGTACTACTGCAACAAGGCGGAGGAATCCACCATGGGGGGAGGGGGCAGGCGGAGGAATTGGGGGAATCCCAGAGCCTATGAATCTGTGTCATACAATGAAATGAAATGAAGAAAAAAAAAAAAAGAAGAAGAAGAAGCAATAGTGGCCCCTGAGCAGGCACTGGAACAAAGTTGCTAACCTTCGGGAAAAGAAAAAGCAACCAGAATCTGTGTATGAGGCCTACAGATACAATCGAAGGGATCTGAGAGTATCTGGGTAAGGCACAAGTAACGTTCACTACACTTGTTAATAAATCACCTTCCTATTAAAACATCCTAGAGTGGAAGACACTATTTGCAGTGAAAAAAAAAAAAGCAACTAAATATGCCACCCAGGAAGAAAGTGATCTAAATTGTTAAAAGTCTAAAATAAAAATTCAGATTTCAAATATATTTACACCTTAAAATATAGATGGGTTTCTAAAAAAAAAATCGATCTCCTCCAAATGTAAATGGATAAAGGTAATCAATTCATGTGAAAGGTAGAGTCAGAGACAAGAGAGAGATCTTCCATCCACCACTTCACTCTCCGGATGGTTGCAATGGCCAGGGCTGGGCCAGCCTGATGCCAGGATCCTGGAACTCCAGGTACTCAAGCACTTGAACCTTCCTTGGCTGCTTTCCCAGGCACGTTGGCAGGCAGCTGGCTGGGAAGTGGAGCTGCTGAGACTCCAACAATCACTCGGGCGGGATGCCGGCATCACAGACACCTATGCAACAATGCCAGGTCCAATGAGCTCTTATTAATGCCAAGCCTCATGAAAGCCTAATTAAAAACCAGTGTGACTCCCCTTGGTGAGGCTCTCCTATGGTCAGTCCTCACAGGGAAAGGAGTTGCTGACTGAATTGCACAGACGGGGAATAAGTGTTGGGCAGATTTGTGTGGTTTTCATAATGACATATGTTGCCTTTTGGTTTTCTCTTTCAAGTCCTCAGACCCAATTAGGATTCTAAACCTAACGGAATGTTCAGCTGTACAATTTGATTATTCACAGGAAAGGGTAAACTGCTTTTGGTAAGTTGCTATTGTTTTTATTCATGTATAAATATTAAGGAATTGTATTTAAAAGTTCTTCTCAGACACTTCGTTTAGCTGTGAAATAAAAACACTGTCTAAAGGTGTACACATGTTGGGCTGAGGGATGTTTGAATATCACACAGGGCTTCCATGTTAGGGATGCTTTAGACAGAGTACCACATGCCTTGTTTATAGTGGCTCAAAGAGGTAGATGAGCTGGTTTCAAGCTGTGCACTGTGTGAATGTGACTCACAGAAGAAGCTCTGGAAAGCTTTACTACTTTTTCTCTCCAATTTTATATCACTTTGTACTATCATTTCTAGCAGAAGGAGGGAAGGGGTGGGGTAAGGGACAAAGAGTGGGACCACTCACCTGCTGGCTCACTCCCCCACTGCCGGGGGCCAGGTATTCCATGTCAGGGGGCACAAACAGCATTACTAGAGCCGTCACATCTGCCACTCAAGGTCTGCCTTAGCAGGAAGCTGAAGTCAGGAACCAGAGGCGGGTGTTGAATGCGGGCACTTTGGTCTGAGACACAAGTATTTTAAATACTGGGTCATGTACCTACCACATAACTTTTAAACTTTGTCAAACATACCATCTGTCTGGATGTATCAACTATTAATACTCAGCCATATTTGCTCTATCTCTATCTCGCCCACGTTTTCTTTTTTTTTTTTTTTTGAATCAGTTATAGACACCATGGCACTTCATCCTAAATACTGGATTATGTATCTCCTATGAATAAAAATTTAATCTATAGCACCATATTATTACCCCCTGAGAAAATGAATTCTATAACAGCAACCAACAATGAATTTCTTTTTAAATGCACATGGAGCTTCCATGTGAGTTGACACAGGTGTATTTTTCTCTTATACCAACAACAACAACAACAGAAATGAGAGGTGGGTAGCTACACAGTTAAGTTCAGCATCTGCACTTGTCTTGGTCTTTCCTCAGATGTATGTGCTGTTCCACCTTTTGCCTCAGGCTTTCATGCAAGGCACAAAGAAACATGTGAGAATGGTATTCATCTTCTTGTCCCCTTTTTCTCAGGAAAGGTAGTGTTTCCCCAGATACGCTCCTATCAAACTCTGCTTTATTGCTCATTGGCCACAATGGAGTGCCTTGGCCATCCCTAGACACAGAGGAGACTAGAAATGGCAATAGTATAATCATAATAGCCTGAAACTAATTAGGACTCATTGCCTGGGGCTCTGTTAGCAAGAATAAAGGGAAAATTTTCTGTATTAACGAGCAATTAATAATGTGTCCCACAGAGAGTACAAAACAAGGATGATTCCAGACACCAGCTACATACACTGGGTGCACCATGTAAGGGTTACTCCTACCCCTACTGCTGTTGGCTCAGCCCTCCGCTGGCCCTGACGTCAGGGTTACACCTTCTACACAGGGACTTCCCTCCTATGGCTTCAGTATTGTCTACTGGCTTCAACAACATGCTCTGCTTAGGATTTGGGAACTAGAGACCCTTCTGAATTTCAATTCAAAACTATTATTTTTTTCACCTACAAAAGGAAAAATGTTTTTAGTTTTTGCTCCTTTAGTTCTCAAATGTCAGTACAGACAGGAGAATGAACAAGATAAATGTTTGTGCTGACCTTGTCATTCGCATGATTTTGATTGCAATATATACTCAGAGACAAATAAAAAAAAGAGCCGCTTCCCTGGGAAAGTTCATCTTCTTTCTAACAGAATGACATACGGACAGAGATGGGAATAGCTCCTGGGTACAGAGTTTTATTGTCTATGTTTCCTATCCTAAAGACTCAAAAATGACCACATGCACCTGAGCCAGGTATTCTCACGGAAGTCAGGTAGCACAAGTAAGTTCATTCAGCAAACCTTATCTGTCTGACTTATTCCTTGACTAATAGAACAAGATCTCAGTCATTTGAGAAATCAGCTGAATAAACAGAAAAGCACTGGAGTCAGCCCAACACACACACACACACAGAGAGAGAGAGAGAGAGAGAGAGAGAGAGAGCAAAGGGTATTTGGTGTGCAGGACATGCTTTACTTTGAAGTCTCATTAGAGAATATTAATCTGGCCTGCCAATGATACTAAGGATCCATGACTCCCTCAATATTCAGTTTGCTGTCAGTTGTAGCTCCATACATGCTAATTCATCATATTACTTAAACTGTATTGTTTTTCCAAGGACTATTACATATTCAGTTAATAATACATACAACTAACTATCCTGAGTGTTTTCCATTCTTTCTTTTGTCTTACCAGCTTAGTGTTTCCATTCAGGACATTTTACCTCTGTGCAAAGACAGGAGTAGAAGCTGATGAATGGATCAAGATATTACGCTGGAAACTGGTGAGTTAAAAGTATTCAGATGCTTAGCATTGAGAAATAGCAGGTTGATCATTTCAGGCATATTTTTGTTGAGTCAGGTGATGTCCAAGACAGATCATCTTTGGGGTTTGCAGAAGAACCTGCTTGTTCCTTTAGGAGTTGAGAAGAGCCAGGGTTGTGAAAAATAAAAAAAAGGATGGAGTGGTAGTCGGATCACAGCCCTTGGGCCTCAGCCCAGGGCCGAGTTAAGGGTTCCTTTATGGCACACAGGTTAGTTCAGTTTTGTGTGATGCAGGACACGTGGTTTTACAGAGGACTGCTGGTGTATTTCTCTGGTTGAAAACCTTTTCACGTGCCAGAGAAGGAAGCTTGCCAGAGGAGCTCATTTCACTGTGTGTCACTTTTTGCAGATCAGGGACAAAAGACCATTTATTTATCTGCTTTCTAAACCCCTCCTGGGAGAAGATGGACTGCTTATGTACCTCAGTCCTTCTCTCACACTTCTTGTACCAGTTGTTCACTAAGAACTTGTCCTTAAAACTTGTTACAATTTCTTATAAATGCTATGTTGAAACCTTTGATGTTTTCAAAAAGTAAAGCATTTTTTCCCCTCTAATTGTTGGTTGTGAAATTACTTGACATTCACCCAAAACTGAGGCCCTTGTTGAATATTGCTTTCTAGATTCTGGGATTTGTGCCTTTGGTCTTCCTTTTGAGTTAAAAACGAGAGAAATACAGAACTCATTTTGAAATTGTTCCAATGTATTTGTTATTCAGAGAGGAAAAATTTGAGGAAATGTTTTGCCATATGAAACCTTTGCTCAGATAGGAGCCAGTTTCTTAGTCCTATTTTCTGATTGTCTAGGTGACAGATAATCATTATAGAGACAGTAAAGTAAAACATATCTTTTAGGCTTCTCCCTGTGCAAAAATACATTTGTAACCAAAATTTAGTCATTCTTTAATGTTCTTTCCTGCTTACTCTACGTCATAATACAGTATGATCTTCTATCCATATCAATACTTTCAGATCTGTTGATTCAATAACTTGTATGGTGTGATGAATTTATATAAATATTAGAGCAATTCTCAATGTGTGTATGTTGCTAAAACATATCTCCTGAGAAAAATACAGAAAAACTTATTCAAACATGCAAGGGGACATCATTCCCTGGTTCTGGATGAGTATACATCAGTCTATCTTCTTTACTATTTAGAGAAAGTCAGATTTTTTTCTCAATCACAAATACATGTTGTGTTCTTTGTTACAGTCACAGATAAGAAAACAGCTTGATCAAGGGGATGGTACAATCCGATCTCGGTCATTCATCTTTAAATAAAGCTTGCTCACCAAGGAACACCCTGGACTGCTTCCTGAGGCTGTGGTCCATCCGGGGCAGCCTCCCCATGAAAGTTGACTATGGACTTATTCAAAAACGAATCAGAAACAGATTCTGATTGGGACCCACATTCCATGTTGGTTGACTCATGGGAAATTTCTTCACGCTATGTGGCTGTCTCCTTGGGAATCCTGAAGAAACCATTGGTCGGATACGAATGAAGTAAACCTCCACTCCCAGGCTTGCCCACTCCTAGGGCATGAAAGAGAAAGGTCTTTGGTATTGTTCATCGTGGTCAGCATTCTGGTTGGTATCCATGGCCTGGAGTCCCACCATGTGTCCTGGTCAATTCTCTGGATCCCCAGGTTGTGCCAGGGGGATGTCTGGGAGCTTGGACTACTCTGAACAGAGTCTATTGAGATAAGAAACATCAAAAGTTTTTTTGAGGAGGGGGTTGTATTTTGCTTCCCTTTTTCTTTATACAAAAACAGTTTCCAAAAACGAAAACCAAAAGGGTTTGCAGAATCGATTTTCTCTTTTGATAGGATCAGGCATCCAGTGGGTCCTTCCCGTATGTGTAAGCTGGGGAAATTAAACACCCCATGCAGGGGTAGTAGGACAATAAACATAAATGAAAGTACAATTTCAAAGCATCTCCCCTAACCAGTTGGGAGAAATGTTTGGAAAAGTTCAAAACATAAATTGAGGAAGGGCAAGAAACTAGTAGATAACTTGTAGTTATTATTACAAAAGAGCTATACTACTATGGAACTATTGTAGTAGAGCTCTCAAGTCTCGATCTGACGTATCTCCCAATGGACCAAAACGTATTTCTAAAGAAGCAGAGTGTAAAGGGTGGCCCAAGTGATGTAGGAAACACCTTGTACTGAAATCACTAACTACTCTTTGCCTTACTAAAAAGCAACTGCTGTTGCCAGTTGATGGAGTAACACTAAATTTCAAAAATATATGATAATGTGTTACATAGCCATTTCAAATTAGAATTAAAAGGAGTGACACAGGGAGAATCAAAAATTGGAGTCCAGAGGTCATAAAAAGATTCTAACCCTGCCATAATCTTTACTAATCTCACTTTTTTTTTTTTTAAGATAGAGGTTTAGAAGGAGATGAAAATGGATGGGGAACCAGAAAATGAAAAGTTGATGGTGTTGAGCCATGATGTAACACTGCCCTCACTGTCCCACAGAGCTTGTTAAATAAGATCCTTCTGTTATTGAAACGCCTAAGATTCAGAAAATATATTAGGTTGTTGTAAATTTCAATACGATTTTTAGTGTGTTTTTTTAATGTCTGTGTTGTATAGGATAAAGCAAATGTCAAGGAAAAGTGTATTGTCAAATGTTATGTTTTGTTTTCACAGGATCGAAGTATAGGTAATGTTATTTTTACTTTTTTTGTAAAATATATATGTATTTATATTTTTCCATTCTGTTTATGAAAAAAAGCTGTATATGTAGGATTTTGCTATTAAAACATGTCAATATTTGGAATTTGAAAGAACTACAGATGTTTAAAATCACAAATAGCTAGGATACTTAGACTTTGAGACATGAAAATTAGGAGTTCTTAAAAATGGAAAAGACAAGAAACACATATAGGGCAATGTATAAAAGTAAATATGTACGGCAAACACACATACATAAAGGGGCAAACACTGTACAGCAGTGAATACATCATGTATATCCCACGCTGGAGTACCTGGGTCTGAGTCCCAGCTCTGCTTCTGAGTCTAGCTTCTTGCTACTGTGTTCCTTGGGAGACCCAAGTCCTTGGATCCCTCCCACGGATGTGGGAGTCCAAGACTGAGTTCTTGGCTCCTGCTTTGGCCTGGCCCAGTTCTAGCAGTCATGAGCATTTGGGAGTCTTAAACTAGCAGATGCAAGACCTTCTCTGTTAATCTACCATTTCAATAAATTAAGGACAGATAAATAAAATTATTTTAAAGGAAGAACACAGAGCTAACAAATATGCACTAGCAGGAAATAAAACCGATTGTTGTTATTTTCCTGTGAAAAGGGCAAGTTACCAACCAGCCTAGTACACTGTGCAATGAGGACCTGGATGTAGTTGCACTTGTACAGTTTAGAGGCTGTGATTGCAGCTCCTGAGAAGAGCCTGGTGATGGGCCTTTGGATGCTTCTCTAAGTCCAAAACAAGGGCAGATGCTTTGTACTAACAGCAAATTAGAATAGAGAATACGGAAGTAGCGAGTAAGTTCTCTGTGTCAAGTCTTGCCTCCTCATCAAGACAGTATCAAGACAGAGCTACACTATTTGCAGTTAGTTTCCAAATCCCCTTGGGAAAATCCTGGCCACTGGAGCATGGTTCCCTCTGAACTATTGAAGTCACACGAAAGTGGAGTTGCATGCCATGTCTGGGAACAATCTGCCCATATTCCAGTGTCACTGGCACTACAACCCTCAATGGGGCAGAATCCTCTCTTCATCCATGTGGCAGGCAACAGTGAGCCCGGTGTAATGGCTCAATGGCTAAATCCTCCCATTACAAGGTGCCAGCATCCCATATGGGTGCCATTTCATGTCCCAGCTGCTCCAGTTTCCATCCATCTCCCTGCCTGTAGCTTGGGAAAGCAGTAGAAGACAGCCCGAAGCATTGGGACCCTGAACTTTTGTGGGGAAACCTGGAAGAAGCTCCTGGCTCCTGGCTTTGAAGTGGCTTAGCTCTGGCTGTTGTGACCATTTGGGGCATGAACCCAAATGCGGATGGAAGATCTTTCTGTCTGTCTCTCCACTCCATAAATCTGATCTGATTTTCCAATTAAAAAAAAAAAAAGAAATCTTAAGAAAAAAAAGTATGTTTCACACACATGACAAGTGTGCAGGTTAGGGAGCTACATTGTGTCCTCGTTTCAGGAAGACAGCAAGAGAACAATTAGAAGGTGAGCATGCATCCCAATCCCCCTACCCCACTACATCAGATCAACTGCAACACATCCATGTCTTTACTAAACACTTCCTGGCCAAGTCTACTACACTGCAGGACTCTAGGCTGCTGTACATGGCTCAGTAGATGGCCCACAGAAACAAGAAAAGGGAGACGGGAAAAGAAAAGAAAGACTGAGAGTCTCCAGGAAAGAAGAGGTCTGAAGATGCAAAGGGTTACAGGGACATGTGTTTCACTGGTGGAGTAGGCTGATTCCGGGCATACTTGTGTCTGTTAGCCCCTCCTCAGCTGGCTTGCTATGTCACAGCTAAATGAGATTGAGATTCTAAGTTGTGTTAGAACACATCTGTGAATAAAAATGGTACCCTAGGCCTTCAAGGTGCACATGGCCTCCAAGCACCAACAACCTCAATAGCAGCAGCAACAGCTGGGCTGAGGGCATTGCTCATTTCAGTGAGCAGGAACAAAGTCAAGGAAATTGGCAAGTACATACTTTGAAGGTGTATATGGGGACTTCCAGAAATATCCAGAAGGAATGCCAACGAGACAGAAAGCAAACACAAGTCAGAGAAGAGACTTCCTGAATTGGTTCTGTGGCTATTTTCTCTGTTCCAGATGCAAAATTAGCATAGACAAACTCCATAACCAGCAGGATACCCACTGGGTTTTGGACATGAAGGAGGAAAATATTTAGTAGTATGAAAAGACAGTGGAGGCCTCAAGAGCATCTCTATCCAGAGAAGACAGTACACTGAGCGCAGTGCCGGGTTCCTGGAGGGATTTCAGAGGCGAGTGCTAGCATGAAGGACTTCGAGATGCAGAGGTGGCTATTCCTACATCTCTGGCCAGCCCATCTTCCTGAGTTTTATAGCTCCAGATGAATCTTGAAGAACCAAACTGAATTTTCATAAACCTCCAGGTGGTGATTCTGATCACAGGTACTGTTCCATATATGATTTATTGCTTGAGAAAATTAACATATCTGCTGGCCTGTAATACAACTACTGGTCTGTGAGTGACTTTTTACTTGTTGTTAATGAAGTCCATAGAAGCAGTTCTTTTTAAGGGGACAAGGCCAATAATGCAGTCTTACCTTATAGGGGAATATTAACTTTTCAGTCTTATGTCATAATTCAGTTCTTAAGGACTTTGGATGATTTCCATTCCAAAAGACAGCCCCCTGGTCCATAATACCTAATCACCTTATGTCAGTTGGAACTAGTGAATAAGTATCAGCTACCCTAAATATATTTGTGAAACAGTTATATCTGAGGGTGACAAGTAAACCCAATAAAAATTCATGTGCCTTCCACTGAAATTTCTAGGAGTCTGGTGCAGGAAACTATCAAGGTATCTCTTCTAACACAGAGGATAGCATATTGCACCTGATCCTACCACAACCCTTCAAAACAGACACAATGCCGAAGAGGCTTCTTGGGATTTTAGAAACAGTGTAATTCTCATATTGATCATGGAATTTCAGTGGCTTAATCCTATCACTCTGAAGCCAGTAGTTTGGAAGGATAATTACAATGTGCTTTTGAAGGCTCAGTTACAGCGGCAGCTGTTTAGCAATGCCTTAAAGGGCTAGCCAGTGTTCTGCAGGAGTCTGTATGTGACCCACATCAGCATCTAATATATGGTGTTATTTCTCCCATAGTCAGATTTACTGGTCCAAAATAAGGGGAAGCACTGAGATGGGCACTACTCTGTGATCTGTTAGCACAGTTTTGCTTCCTGCCCCACTTACTGCCCTCCTACTTCTTCAGAGTTGATAATATACACATACACCTTAATTTTTTTCTTTCTCCTACATCACATGCCATGAAGTTTCATATCGTTTTTTTAAATGGACATTATGCCTTCATTCTAATATCTAAAGTTACCTAAAGTACTACCTCATCCCTTTCCTCCATTGAGTAAATAGAGTAATTGATTTCACCAAATCTCTATGACCATTTACAGTGGAACAACAGAAAGGAAGACCCATCAGAATAAGAAAAGCAAGTGTAAATTGGGACTGCTTAAAAAAGCCAGAACAAATGATTATCCTATCTGGTGTACATATTTCAGTTGCTTTCAATCTTTTGACATTACTAAGTTGTGAAAAATGATTACAAATACTGAATTTTGCATGTTAATATGCATGTGGTAGGACAAATTTATATAAGCATAACAGTTGAACCAAAGCTTATGTGAATTTGAAAATTGACAGATTGTTAAATTGCTGTACATACGAACTATTACAATTCATACTTTCACCAGCAGAGCAAAAAAGTCTGCTCTCCTTACTGAACAATCCTGTCCCCAGTAAATAGGATATGATCTTTACAATGCTTTTTTTTTTTTAAGATTTACTTTATTTTTATTGGAAAGTCAGACATGCAGAGTGAAGAGACGAAAGGAAGATCTGTCCATTGATTCACTCCCCATGTGGCTGCAATGGCCGGAGCTGCGCTGATCCAAAGCCAGGAGCCTGGAACTTTTTCGGGTCTCCCACATGGATGCAAAGTGCCAAGACTTTGGGTTGTCCTCCAGTGCTTTCCTGGGCCACAGGCAGGGAGCTGGATGGGAAGCTGGGCTGTCAGGATCACAACTGGCACTCATACGGGATCCTGGTGCTTGCAAAGCAAGGACTTCAGCTGCTAGGCTACTGTACTGGTCCCACTTTACAATGTTGTAGGTCTCCACTAGTATATTCTAAAGTCTATTATTAAATTAGTTCATTGCACTGATCTGAGAGTTATATATCTAGATCTATGCTACCTTCTAGAAGTAGTTAATCATGGGAAAGTGTTTGGCCTGGTGGACGACATGCCAACCAGGATGCTAACAACCCATATCAGCATCTTGGTTTGGTACTTGGTTCAGCTCCTGTCAGTTTCCTGTTAATTCAACAGTCATAGCTAAAGTGAGTCCTACCACCTACATGAATGGTTTTGATTGAATTCCTGGCTCCTGTTTTGCTGGAGTCTAGCTTGTGGGCATTTAGGAAGTGAAATATTTGGGAAAACATTTAGTTTTGGGGCCCTGCATGGTAGCCTAGTGGTTAAAGTCCTGTTCTCACATGCGTTGGAATCCCATATGGGTGCTGGTTCTTGACCCAGTGGCCTCACTTCCCATTCAGTTCCCTGCTTGTGGCCTGGGAAGGCGGTGAAGGACAGCCCAGAGTCACGGGAGCCTGTATCCACATGGGAGACCTGGAAGATTCCTGGCTCCTGGCTTCAGATGGGCGTAGCTCTGGCCATTGCAGCCACTTGGGGAGTGACTCAATGAACAGAAGATCTTCCTTCCTCTGTCTCTCTTCTCTGCATATCAGACTTTGCAATTAAAAAAAAAAAATCTTAAAAAAAATTTAGCTTTGATTTCTCAAAAATCTCTTGCCAATTTTTACAGATGAACTGTAGAATAATTTCCCTATTACCTTTTCAGACAGAAAATTTTACCAGTACTAGTATTCATCATATAAAGGTTACGTAGCTTAAGCTATTAAGTTTCTTTTCCTGGACTTTTAGCCATACAACTCCAATATCCTGCAACTAAAAATACAGCCACTTCACTGCTAAAAACTCTTCTTTTCCTATGCACTATTACAGTAGCAAATATTTCTTGGATATAATTACATTGTAATTTAGATAACAGGAATTGTAGATTTTAATGGATTTCTCTTTGTCTCTGTCAACTGTAACAATGACAGCTCCCCGTAGATAAAACTTTCCCTCTTGCCTCTATTTTATGGTGAAGGCTGTAGTTCTTGGTTCTTTCAGCTACTCTGATTCTGTGATTCTACGGCACCTGGTGTATAATTCTATTATGGCAGTTTCTATAACTGGGTTTCCTTTTTTGAACTGTGAATTCCTAAAGGCAAGCACTAAAATTCAGTTTTATATTTCTGTGGAAGCAGAGAGGAAAAACAGAACAGTGCTGGCCAACTGTTATACTGCACAACTCCAGAACTGTGGTGCCTCTTTTATGGAGATTTACTTGGGCTCATTGGGGAGGTTTCTTTTCTACTTTGCTTTCTAGTAGTTAAATAACTTCAAACTAACTTCTACCAGCAATACTTGGTCATCTGGTAGACACAGTGAAATGAAAATCAAGTTAATCATGTTTTTCAACTTTTGGGAGAAATCTGACGACCAAAAATTTATATATGCTCAAGTTATATTTTTAAAAATACTATTTTATTTATACTTGTGTATGAAAAAATGTACTTCACACTATTGGGTTTACATACATATGATATTGGCAACAGAATTCAGTAATAAATCATGTTTGTATCTTACATAAAGAACACATAAACATTAAAATATTGATTGGTTATAGAAAGCAAAGTTGGGAAAAAACCATTAGCAATAATTTTCACTTTCATTAAAGAACAGCACCCTCTGAAAAGAATCATATATCGATTAGTAATACTCATCTATATTGCAAAATAACATTTACAAAGGAAAGTTAGTGATTGTACTGATTTTATTTTACTAAGTCATTTTATCTTTCTCATTTTCAATGCAAAGAAATAAAACATAATCTGAAGAAAAATATGTCCTCATTATTATTCACAATAAAAAGGGTCTGCTTCATTCTGCAGGCCTGGGCGTATAGTACAACAGGGAGCACTTGACGGCTCAGGTGGATCAAGGTACCATTTTGATTCTGATCCACTGAGGGGAATCTCACCTGCATTTGGTGACTGGACTAACTCCATGGGAGCCATGGTAACTGAGCCATTTTTTGTGGTATCCCCGGATTTCACTCACTAAGAAAGACCCTGCACAAGGAAATAGAACTGACCTGTCCATAACTTAAATCTATGGGCTCTTTCTCTAGCATAAGGTGGGGAAAGGGGCCCTTTCTTGAGTACATAGAGAAAAGCGTTACTGAAGTCTTGAAGATTGCTGGATTGATATTGTATTGTTACAACGAAGACAAGGTATACATCAAAATGACTGTCAAATTAAGAAACTTCCACAACTTTTATCAATTCTTCAAATAAAGGAGCAAGTTCCTTTTCTAGGCTGACAATTAGACCTAAAACAAAGAAATCAAGAAAATTTGATTGTCAGCAAAATGTTCCTGAAAGAACAAACAAAACACTGCAATCCAGAGTAGAGCAGCCACAAATTCCATATTCATTACAAGTTTGTTTTCACTAATATATTAATCCTATACAATCATTAAACTTAAGGAAATGTTTACCTGTATCATTAAAAACACAGTAACTCATACGCGCTGTAATTTGTTAGTTTGAAAGAAAAATATTGACTTTATGCCTTACTGCTTCAAAACTGGCAATGATTCAGAATTCATACTTGCTTTCTACTAAATAAAGTACAGTCATTTTCTGGGTCAACTGGAAAGGTTTATACCAAAAGACAAGCAAATAGCTGTGCACACTGCGCAAAAGAAATCAGAAATTTATTTTATGAATTCAACAATGCTAAAACATAAATGGGTGTTTCAAACAAAACATATTTTAAACGTGAATGCTAAGATGCAGATGTTTAAAAAGCACAGACGTTTAAAAAGTTCAGTGGCTTATTTAAGAGACAAACTCATCCAGATTAACACATTTAGCTTCACTTTAGTTTTCAAGAATGAAAACCTTAAGAATGATACTTTAGTGCCTGTTTTATGTCCAAACAGGTAAAGATCTTCCTTTTATAGAGTATAAAAGGGCACTTGGACTCTAAAGAAAAGGTTTTAAGATCTAAGATAAAATCCTCTACATAATAGCAGTACATACAACTGATAATTAGAATGTGATAGGAGATTTATCAAATTATCAAAATTGAAACTAAGCATACTGAATTTATTGACACCCCTACTATCCTATATAATTTACAGTCCTATTCTTATTCAAAATGGAGTAAAGAAATGACAATCTGGGGTTGCCTACAAAGTGGGCACCCCATTTGGGTGCTAGTTTTGAGTCCTGGCTGCCCCCTTTTAATCCAGCTCCCTGTTAATGTGCCTAGAAAAGCAGGGAAGATGCCCCATGTGCTTGGACTGCTGCACCTACATGGGAGACCCAGACAGAAACTTCTAGCTTTGGACTGGTCCACCTCCAGTTATCGGGGCCATTTAGGGAGTGAACCAGCTGATGAAGCTCTCTATCTCTCCATCCCTCTCTGTAACTCTTTCAAATTTATCTTTTAAAAATACATCTATAGGGTCTGGTACAGTAGCCTAGTGGCTAAAGTCCTTGCCTTACATGTGCCAGGATCCCATACGGGAACTGATTCTGACCTCCAACGCCCTGCTTCCCATCCAGCCCCCTGCTGGTGGCCTGGGAAAGCAGCTGAGAACAGCCCAAAGCTTTGGGACCTTGCACCCACATGGGAAACCTAGATTAGGCTCCCAGCTCCTGGCTTCAGATCAGCACAACTCTGGCTGTTGTGGCTGCTTGGAGAGTGAATCATTAGATGGAAGATCTTCCTCTCTGTCTCTCCTTCTCTCTGTATATCTGACTGTTGAATTAAAAAATATATATATTTTACCCTCATATATCTCAAATTCATCAATAGTGTAGCCGTAGAGCCACACTTCAAAAATTACAATCCAATTAAGTTTTATCACTTTAGACAGATATCCAGTAAAGACTGTTGAATATAATAGGATTTAACCATTTTTTATGGATGGGAATATAGCTTTCTAGCATTTGTTCTCAAATTCTTCAGCCCTCATGAATGGGACTATGGTCACACTTCATATTCTTTGAACGTTCCATCATATCCATCTTGTCTGCTACCAATATATTGGTCTATACGGAATGAAACTCACCTTAATCATTTTGTGTATACTTTATCACCTCCTTTTATTTTCTTAAACTGTTTCAATGTGTGCAAGATATAGCACTTGAGGTAACATATCTAATTTTCCTTTCTCAAAAGAAAAAAAATCACTATACATTGTCTCATTTTAAGTATAAAATAAATCCAGAAAATGGGGAAAGTATATTATTATTTCTATTATACAAATATGGAAACTAGGATGGAAAGAAATCACTTTTCCTAGGCCTAAGGGGAAAAGATGATAGAGCTGAACCAAAATTCAAACACTGTTGCTCTAAATCTACTACGGCTATTAGAATGCACATAGAAAATTATACAATTACAAACTGTACTAAAGATTATTTGAGCATACCTGTATTGGCATTGCTGCTGGCTATGAAACTCACCACCAAAGGCAGTCGATTGAACTGCACAACCTAAAAAGCAAATACAGTCGAGGTAATATGAAAGGCAGTGTACCTCAACCAGAATGTCATAATTTTCCAAAACTGTTAAGGTGGCCAGTGATTGCAGTCTAACATATTACACGCTGAAATATGAAGCAGCTGAAAGTATTTCCGTGACAATGGAGCCACCGATTATCCCTCAGAAATACCAACAGTACACTTAGTTAACCAAGTGTTAAGGTGGAAACCTCTCTTCATTTTTTTGTCTCTAAACCAGTATTGTCAATGAAATAGCGGAAGCTCACTGATCAACTGAGAATTAAATGAAGACAGCTCTTCTTAGCCATTTTAGTATCCTTCCGTACCCGTTGTTTGTCACCTACAACCTGAACGTTTTAAATGAGAAAGTGCAGGAATAAATAACATCTAAGTTTTTAAGTGCATGCCGTTCTGACCATCATGAAAGCTCACACCGCCCTGCTGTACCACGCCTGGGAAGGGACTCAAACCTTCGTCTAACATTCCACTTCCCATATACCACCCTCCGTAAGTCATGCAGGGACTTTCTCCACTACGTGACAAATGGCCATGATATTGCAGTGCTTTATTTTCCTTTTTGTTTACTTTATTCTTATTTTCTGTTTTACTGTTTTGAGCCATAGGGCTTCCCCCATCCTCGCCCCACTGCGCCATGTTTCACAGTCACACAGTCCTTCAGCTGTAGTCTCGATTTCACTGTTCTTCACGTGCGTCATGACATGGTGGGTATAAGCAATGGTAGAGAGTCAAGTATTTCGTTGTGTAGGTATATTTATTTTTTTATTGTCTAGGTATATTTAACAGTTTTGTTGGAGGCCTACATTCAAGTAATCCTTAATTTAACTTAATAACAGTCTAAAGTGCAAAAGTAGCAAAAAAAAAGCAGCTGCTCTTAAGACAGCGCAGCTGGAGATCACAAATAATAATCTGTCATTATATTAAACATTTCAAACCATATAAAACAATCAGAACAAATGTAAGCAGCTTATCATTTAACTTTTAAGAAAAATTTCTGGCTGTCAAAATAACAAGGCTCATAGCTGCCTGGCTAAGGGCACCATCTACTGGAGTAACAATGATCCAACCCGTCTTCTTTAGAACAAGTCCTTACTGATGAAAGCTTTAACTACTCTGTCAAGGTAATTATTTCCTGATGTGATCATGTGAAGTAAAATTAACGATCATGTTTAAAATAGCCAATCTAAAGCCCTAACTTAAAAAAAAGTCATCTATTTTCAGAACTAAAATTTAGAACTGTAAAAAGTGATTTCACGGAGATATTAAAAAAAAAAAATGAGATGGTTGAAAGCAGCAAACCCTTACGTGAACTTACCTGGTAGGTGTTATAGTAACAGATGATACTTTTGTTCTTAGAAAGTCCCAGTTTGCTCCCTTGGTCTGTTGCCAGGGCAAAAGTGGACAGAAAGCCAGGCCTCAAGGCATGCTCTGGAGCGTTGTCATTGGCCACTGTGAACAAGGGACTCAGATGAGAACTACACCCACTAAGGCACAGGGGTGAGGCGGGGAGGGGTGTGGGAGGAGAGGAAGGGACAGAAGGTTTTTAAAAAAACAAAACCCACAAACATTTGAGCAGAAAGGTTATGCTTTATATTTACAACCATTCCACTAATTGTATCTTACCAATTTAAATGAGACAAACTGCTCAATCAGAAACTTCAGTGCCCAGAACTAAAGGAAGAACTGCTAACTTACTGGGTGAGGAATACTGAATGTTTCTAGTTCCTTGAGACCTTTTTAAGACAGATCATGTAGTTCATTTAATAAATTGAATGTTCTGGTTATCTGACAGCCATGCTATTCTAACACAATGAAAAAAGCTACAAAATTTTGTCTGTCACAAAAAACAAAGCAGCAGTGTCTCTTACAGCAGTGTTAATAACCCCGGCAGATGTCTACCTGTTTCATGTTTTCCTCAATGTTATTAACTGAACAAAACAGAGCTCAGGGCTTTAACACAGATTCTCAGAACGGGCATTAGATTGGGAAAACAACCAAGACTCTTTTGTTCAAAGCACTCATTATAGAACAAAGAAAGGCAAGTGGCCTGCCCAGGGCCGCCCATGTGGACGGATTAGAATGAACTCTAGACTGGAAACACTGGATTTCCCTACTATCTCCTCACCAACTGGAGGGCAACTCTGGACTGGCAGTGTCTCTTTGCTCTTGACTACCTTCATCTGTAAAATGAAAGAAACTAAATCTGGTGATCTCTAAACCTTTCAATTCTGAGTTAACTAATACCTATGATAACCCCGGATGTAAAGTGAACTGGGAATGCAACATTCAGAATGTTATTTAACTGTTGGTAAAGCCACTAAGATATCTCAGTGTTTATAAATCTAGCTGCATTTACACTCACTTAGAGAGTTAGCAACAGCTTATATTCCACTATAAATGCCTTATGAGAAACCGACCCTGAGAGAAATGCATGCTGAAACTCTCAACATTAATGTGACACATATGATGTGCCATCCAGTAGAGGTTCCAACTTAGCCATCAAAACAGAAAAACAAACCTCTCCCCCAAGCTAAAGCCATTTCTTGAATTTAGTGTGTTTCATGCCTTTCCCTTTAATTCCTCCAATGTAAGTGCCTTATACATACAATTTAGTCAAAAGCAAAATGCCATTTGCATTTAAATTTTACCTTTAATAACAGGTACTCCATCTCTATCTGACACAACAATAGCATGGAGTCCTTCAACACTAGAATGAGAAAAAGGGTAAAAATATTATAAAACATCTTATTTTCTCAATATACATACCTCAAAATTATAATTGAATTCTCATGTATATTACCGAAAACATCCAGGGTTGTACTTATTGATATCATGTGTTCCAATGTGTCTGCCAAATCTCTTCCTGATATTGAATGTGAATTACTGACAAAATCTTAATACCTTTACAATTTATTGGTGGAAATCAAGAGTTGCTTCTCTAGTAAAATTCCTAATGTATTACCATTCTGGGGTTTACAGAAGTATTAAAGGTTATCAGTGGTGCTTACAGTGACCAAAAAAGAAGTGTCTTATCTCATTCATTTCAATTTTGAGTTCAAGTATTTCTGCCATTTAATATTCTGACATTATAGTAGCCCCACAAGCATAAAACTGTTGCTTTTACAATGCTTATAATCTCCAAACAGCTATCAGAAAATCTCCCCTAAGTTTAAAACTACAACTGTGGCAAATGTTATTAAGATTCACACTTCAGGGATGAATGAGAGGGATGACGCAAAGAGGCAGGTTGGGGGAGGCTTCCTTGGGGAAAGCGGTGTGTCAGTGAAGTAGAGTGGAATCAATCTAGGCTGAGGAGAAAGGTATCCAAGACGAGGTCATTTGGTGATCCTTACAGCAGGTGCAGGACAGCCAAGGCCACAGCTTTGATTTGAGAAAGGCCCAGCTTTCAGTCTGGACTCTGCCTCTAAATTATTGTGGCCACCTTAAGTCAATTTTGAAACCTCTCTAAGATTCAGTTTAGCAAGCTGAAATAAAAATAACTTTTCTTGCATGGCTACTGTAAACACTTTTAAGCACTGCAAGTAAAGCACAGGCCAGTACACAGATAACATTCAAAAATCCTAATGAACACTAATGGTGTCAATTATACACAACGATATAACTTACCACTGTAGTTTAAGCACCAATTTATTGCTAAGAATTCACGTAAATAAGCAGTTAAGAAATACAGACTTCAGGACTGGGCAAGGTACCATAATGACTAAAGTCCTCACCTTGCAAGTACTGGGATTCCATAAGGGTGCTGGTTCTAATCCCAGCACCCCACTTCCCACACAGCTCCTTGCTTATGGCCTGGGAGGGCGGTATAGGGTGGCCCAAAGCCTTGGGACCCTGCGCCCATGTGGGAGAGCAGGAAGGCTCTTGATTCCTGGTTTTGGATCAGCTCAGCTCTGGCCTTTGCGGCCCCTTGGGGAGCAATTCAGCAGATGGAAGATCTTCCTCGCTGTCTCCCCTCCTCCTTGTATATCTGACTTTCCAATAAAAATAAATCTTTAAAAAAAAGAAATAGAGAAAAAGAAACACAGACTCCAGGGTATAACAGGAAAGTGCTAAAATGCAAAATACTTTCAAATGCAGAAAATATTTTCAAGATTCAAACAAATTTGTAAACTATTGACCATATTACTAAGTATGTATAAATCAACTCAGTGTTCCTATTATAACACAAGATTATTATTCTTTTCTTATCATGCTGATCATGTTTTAAGGAATATTCTAATTAATCTAATGGAATAAGGAATATTCTAATTAATCTAATGTTAAGATGCTGAAATTATGTTTTTAAAAATTTCATTGTCAAAAACTTTTAAAAGCATCTCAGAGCTTGCCCCACATCTGACACCTGGGGTGGGTGAGAAACTGGGTGGGGCTTTTCCCTCAATATCCCCCTTTACCTCAGATACATGAAGGAAACAATATGGAAATAATAGTCTTACCTACTTTCCTAAAGCCCTTGAACCTTTTTACCCTAATTAACTATGTCTGATGAAAAAAATAAACTGTGCATGAAGTTAAAAAAAAAAGAAAGCCAGTGAAATGTAAATCAGATCCAGGGCAAGGATGTTAGCAGTTAAGACACTGACTGGGATGCTTGTTTCCCGCTCCAAAGCACTTAGGTTGTAAACCAGCTCCAGCTCTTGACTCTAGCTTCTTCCTAAATTGCACCACCAGAGCCAGTGGTAATGGATCAATAACTGGATTCCTGCCACTCATATGAGAGGCCCAGGCTGGATTCCCAGCTCTCAGTCAGCCCAGCCTAACCAAATTCAACCCAGCCCTGGTTGTAATGGGCACGTGGGAGGCAAACCAGCAGATGAGAGCTGTCAGTCTCTCAGTCTTCAATAAATAAAACTTAAATACCAAAATCACACCCTACAGATACCTGCATGCATGTAAATCATTTGTGTAGTTATCAGCCACACAACTTGACACAACACAACAGCAATGTTGCTTGACATAGATAAAGTTGAGAAATCTACTTTCACAAAAGAAAAAAGTTAGGAGCCAGTGTTATCAGAGTGAGTTGGTTGAAGTCCCAGTTGCTCCGCTTCTAATCCAGCTTCCTTCTAACATGCCCAAGTTTTTAGGCCTCATATTGGCAACTGGAATGGAGCTCTGAACCCCTGGCTTTTTTTTTTTTTTTTTAAGATTTATTTATTTATTGGAAAGTCAGATATACAGAGAGGAGGAGAGACAGAGAGGAACATCTTCCATCCGATGATTCACTCCCCAAGTGAGCACAATGGCCCATGCTATGCCGATCCAAAGCCAGGATCCAGGAACTTCTTCCGAGTATCCCACACGGGTGCAGAGTCCCAAGGCTTTGGGCCGTCCTCTACTGCTTTCCCAGGCCACAAGCAGGGAGCTGAATGGGAAGTGGGGCATGCCGGGATTAGAACTGGCTCCCATATGGGATCCCGGGGCGGGTTCAAGGCGAGGACTTTAGCTGCTGGGCCATGCCGCCGGGCCCTGAACCCCTGGTTTTGACCTGGACAAGCTCTGACTATTGCAACCATCTGGGAGTACATGGAAGATCACCCTGCTCCTGCTTCTGCCCCCATTACTCTACCTTCCAAATAAATAAATAAGTATTAAAAAAAAAAAAAACAAAACCCAAAATTAATTCTGATATACATGTATAATGGTTAGCCTGTAGGCACACAAAAAGAGGAAGTCCTTACCAAGGTGGGACTAATATCAAAGTCATATTCTGCAAAAAAATAAGTTTTGAATAATGTGTACCAGAGCCAAATTATGGAATACAGTGTGCAGGTTTGAGATACAGAATGTGTAAATACATGCCTCTCCTCACATGCATACTTAAAGACAGAAAAATATCTCTGTGGATGACAGGAGGGTCCTGTGAGACCGGAACGGTGGCTGGGAGGCAGGGTAGGCAGGCTCTTGCTCTGGGACCCTGGGTTAACATTCCAATGCTGAATTTCATGAATGTATTTCCTACTCATAAAACATATTAATAACCAGTAAAAGTATTTTAGAAACATTCAGAAAAATTTGTGCCACTTTGGTAGCATTTTTTCTAGTTTTCATGGTTATTATTTAAATAGCAACCAATGCACCATGGGAAGTAGAAATGAAAGAACTCTTTAAAAAAACAAAAACAACAACAAAATAGGTCTCAATCCCAGATAGGCCTGTGGCCAAGTAAGCAGAAAACTTACACTCTTATTAAAGTAGCTGGTTTTAGAAATCTGGTCACAATACAAAAGTTTTTTGAATTTAACACACAGTTGACAAAGAATATGAAAACAAATTTTACTAACTACTACATTTTTAATTCATTGATATGCTATAGTTATAAAGTAAGTTTTATAAAATAGAGAAACTGAAACCGTAAGCTTACTTCATTATTTATCCTATAAGACCAATGTTACATTAGTGATACAAATACACTGAGTATAAATCACAATTAAGAAACATTTGATTGTTTCAGAAAGCAAAAAGTTGTGAATAAAGCCAGGGACTATTTTGGGTTCATGTAAATTTTAAAACACAAATCCAAAAACAATATGTGAGGTCTTAAAAACAATTTTGGGAAAACACATATTATGAAAAAATGGTGCAGAGATTTCAAAATTCTCTGCAGGTTCCATTTTTTTTATGAAGTTATTTAAGTATCCTCATATTTAACAGAATTCAAAAATAAGAACACACATTCTACCAATGTGAATTGCTAGCCATCCAGGATGCAGAAATGCATAGTAGGGCAACAGTTACAAGCACAGACCCACAGCTCTGAGGCCATGAGGCCTGCATACAGACACACAACTGGCAATTAATCACTGGATATTCTATTTTTGTCTCTTAAGTGTATCTAGTTTCAAGGAACAATCATGAGGATGATTCAAAGTAGACTCAGTCATTCTGGAAACAAACCAGATGGTACCAATTCCTTTACTGCCATTATGGATGGATTTTCATCATGTTTTTACAAATATACTTCCGTTGAGTTTATCTTTTGGATCAACACTACCAACACTACTTAAGAGAGATTGCTAGAATCCAAAGATGAAACTTTTCAGATGTTTTTGGTTCACACTAGAGCTATACAGTTGTAAAAATGAATACATCTTGGATTACTAATTCTACACTACAGCTTTACCATTTTCAGTGCCATTAGAATACATCTAGTTGTTAAAGTGGGACTCTCACTGGGCCCAGCGCTGTGGGAAAGTAGGTGAAGCCTCCCTCTGTGGCTGGCATCCCATGTGGACACGGAGCCTCAGGTCATGCAGGCACAGCTAAGCACTCAAAGGTCATTAGTTACAGCTTCCTAGGGAATTACCAGGTATTTTAAAGTGCTAATTTGTAGTATATGCACATAATACTGATCTACACAGAAACAAAATCTCTCGAGAGTAACAGGTATAATATTCCAATTTAAAAAATCAATAATGTCTTACCTTGGTAACTTTTTATACAGGAATCGCTTTAGGTCCTAAAAGGGAAATATTTTTGAAAGTGATATTATAACATCACCTCTCACGACTTTTCTAGGTCTCATCCTACCCCTGTTGCAGTAACCTTAAGTTGTCATTCCTAACTTTTCACGCTTGTGCTTTTATCTTCTATGTTGTATTTTGACGCCAGCAGTTGAGTAACTTGGGACAAGTTAACTAATCCTCTCCTTTACCTAAGGTTTGGATCCATTAGTTCTCAACAGGGATAATGACGACCTGAGTGAGTCACAGGACTGCTCAAGTTTGCCTGAGAGGAGGCGTGTGGCAGCATGCTTCCTTCAGCGTACCCACCAACGGACAGCAGCTGTAAAATCAGATCATATGCATCCTACTAATTTATACCTGACTGCTGTGTTCAACTGAGAACATCTTCCCACGCTCACACATTTGCACTATCCGTCTCCTGATTTTTGAGTCAGCTGGTTAACTTTCCTAACATGACTAAATGACTAGACAGACTACTTTGTCTTATATTCTCATGAACTACTGGTCCCTGAGGTATCGCTTACTACCTCTGAGTAGATAAATCAGACATCAGTTGTTTGGAACCTCTCATATTCTTCAAACCGGATCGATCATTCTGTCCCCCGTTACACCCACTACCTTACCTCGGCTGTTCCGTTGCACAGACACCATCTGAATTAACACTGCCCTAGTGGTATGGGTTAGAAACCATCCTGACTTGACACAGTGAACCCAATGAGTCACCATGACCTCTTTCTGGGATAAACTGGTTCTGAACACAGCTCCCACCCATCACATTCCCGGGAAGGGCCGTCAGCCCCCGCTGCGTGTCCCCAGAGGTAACCGTGCAGAGCCGCTCCTGTCCCCGGGAAGGCAGGGCGGAGGGTGAGAATACAAGCCTCTCGACCGCGGGCACCTTAGGGTCCTCCGCCCAATTCCCGGCAGAATACCCAGGGCTCTGCAAACTGATTCAGACTCGTCACTCACTCCGGGTTTCCCAAAAAGATGGTCTATTAGGTGAATGCAGGGAAACAAAAAACAAAACCAATCTCTACTTGGGCAGCTCCACTTCTGCCAGCCTCCCCTTCCCCTGGTGAGTCGGGGGCGAGGGTGTCAACTCACATCCGCCATGACGAACCCCTTCCTCCCGCAGGATCAATCTCCACGCCTGGAAGAGAAACCCCCCGTGACTGTCACCTCCAGGCTTCCTCGCCCCACCCCCCTCCAGCCTAAGAAGGGGCATCGGCCCCAGCCAGGTCAAGACTGCGCGGTCCTCAGCTGAAGCCGGACTCCTCCAGCCCCGCGACCGGCAGCAAGCCGGGGTGGCCGCCCTCCAGCCCACTCCGCCCCGCAGGGAGAGCGGCGCCCGAAGACGGGGATCAGGGGCGTCCTCCCCTTCTCTCCCATCTCACCACGGCCCGGGCCCAGCCCTGCGCGCCGGGCTCCGTGCTGCCAGCTACCTCGGCTTCAGGACCGCCCGGTTCTCTCCGCTGTCACTTCAGGCAGAGCTCCAAGGCAGGTGCCCCAGAAACGCGCCGTCACATGACTCGTGACCCCGTCTGCGTTGCAGGAAGCGTTTGCGCTAGACGGAATTTCCGGGGGAGGCGGAGCGGAAACGCAGACGCCCGCGTCCCTCCCGGGCCCGCCGCGAGCGGCTCGGCGCGCCTGCGCGCTGCTGCCCTGCGGGAGGATTCCCGGGCGGTGGCTGCGAGTCAAACCCAGCGGAAGCTGCGGAGTGTGCTGGAGGGTATGCTTACGCGGACACGGTGCAAGATTTCCCTGTTTTTTTCAGTGACCTTCATCCCAAACTGTGTTTCCTAAGATGGAAAACTTCGGAGAATGGCGTTACAAACGTAATAGCACCAAATGGCCACTAATTGGAAGACCATAGGTTACTGATCCCAATATTTTTATATCTCTTCCCCCGCTCCTTTTTAACAATATTTACTTGAAAGGTAGAGTGAAAGGAGGTCCTCCACGCCATTGGTTCAATTCCCTAAATGCTCGTAAGTGCCAAGATGCAAGTAGAATCAGATGGGAAGTACCAGGACTTGAACGGAGGACTTTCACACAGGACACTGGATTCCTGCATTTCCTATGCTTTGTGTTACAGACGTCACCTACTTTAAATAAAGGGGGCGTATACTTTCTAGAGTGCTGTGTGCTTCTAGGGTTGACCTGGGCCTTTCATTGGTTCTTGGCCTGCAGCTGTGCCTCTGAAGGCCTGCTTATGCTTTTTTGGTTTATGCCTTGTTTGCATGTTCAACAAAAGCCTCCAGCAGGTAGTAGGAATATCAGCAAGCTTCCTACAGGAGGGAACTCTGCAGTCACCTTAGCACAAGGTTTCTAGGCTTTGGCACTAACATTTTTCCATCAGATGAATCTGTCAGAGGGGTTGTAATGTGCATCATAGCACGTGGCAACATCCCCTCCCTGGTATCTGCAAGATTCCAGCAACACACTTCCCTTGTGACAGTTAAAAATGCTCTGGGGACAAAAAACCACACCTTAATTGAGAATTGTCTTGGCCTCTCCTAGGAAAACTGAGGCTCATTGCTTTAGTTACCGATTTTCTTGGTTCTCATTTATTCAAAACAGAATACAGCACGTTGGAAAATGAGTCCTAAAGGAATCTGTTACTCTTCATTTTCAGTGCCTGAAAGTAGGAGTACAAAAGAAACTACTTCTAACCCAAAAGTTGGATGGAAACAGCAGGATACTTAACTTGCTTAGAAGAGTTCTCTTGGAGAGGACAAACGACCTCCTAATCCCAAATGAACCGGACAGTTGTGCTGCGCCTGGCATTATGGGCCTTCTCCAGCATGTCTCTATTTTCCCATCATGTTTTCTTTCCACAGTTCCCTGAGTTCTCAAGCTGCACCTTTCATCTGTGTTCCAGGTCGACATTGTCAGTTGCCTGCTGCTTCCTTCCACATCTATTTGCTTTGTTAAACGTGAACTCCATCAGGGTTCTGGATTGTTCAAGGAATAATCTCCAACACCCAGCTATATATTCCTACCTGGTATGTACCAGACATTCACACATGGACATATCAGGAGTATAAAACACAACAAATGTTTAACTGTGAGAACAGACCTTTTTATTAATATTTTGAGATAAACTACAGAGATTGAAAGACAAAAGTTTGTCATAAATCATTCAGAACATTCATTAAAAATCAAATGCATTTTCTTTACAGAGTTCTCACACAGAAAATCCTATTTTATATGTGTCTGATTGACATTAAATATTTTACAAATCAGACATTCCATTTTAAACCTAATTGAATGATCTTAAATGTAGTGTCAACAAATATCTTTTACCAGTTTCATTTTAAGTTATACAAGGCTTCCATTAAAATTCCACCGCACCTTGAAAATTACCTGTAGCTTTTTAGAACATAAACTTTAAATCAAAAATCTTAGGTAGCAATCTAAAATCTAAACACAAATCAAGGCAAAAACAGGTAAGAAGCATTTCTTCATACAAATGAATTACAGAAGAACTTAACATGAGTTTTTCTCTTGCCTACATATTCATCTAAATAAGAACAATTAATTTTGAAATTATTTTAAAGTATTCCAATTTCAACAAAGATCTCTATTATTTTAATGGTGCTTGCTCTTAAGTGGCGAAATAAGGTGCCGGATGAAAATATTTGGAATTTCATGCTGGAGTAAATGACACTTGCTCACATTCATGCCAAGTGTCATATGCTATGCAGTTAATCAGACATCTTGGCAATCACCCAATTTTTAAAATAACTTTTGAAATTAAACCATTTCAAGAAATACTTCTTACCTCTATAATAGTTTCAGATTGCCAGATATTGAAAGATATAATTACATTTAAGGTAAGAGCCTTATGTTAGGAATGTGTGTATTAAAACATGAACAAAGATCAATGGAAATAGTTCACACCAACCAAATTCTGTGGATTTATTTCAAAGTTAGAAGTAAGATGTTCCCTACTAATGGAAGCCCTGCTCTGTGCAAACATAGTGTGGCATATATTAAACAATCATACATTTGAGGTATTAGCTGGAAAAAATATAAATATATACATTATACATGGACACATCAACAAAATATTCACAGATCTATTGGCCCCAACACCAGCAAATAATCAAATTAAAGGAAAAGGAATCACATACCAACAGGAAAAAAGTTACACATAGGCAATTTACAAAAATTGTGATTACATAATCCTTAATATAAGGAATATGTTTTGAATTAAATGTTTTGAGGAAAAATGTTTCCATTTATACGAAAGTATCTATTCAATAGTAAAGAAACCAAAAAGGAAGTCTGTTTGCCAAACTATTAAAGGGTGTGCGCGAATTTCTTGAAAAGACTTATTCTATCCATTTTCTTTTTAAGTGAAAATTAGAATTTAAGAAAATTTGGAAATGACTGCCAGATGACTTTCCCACTGGTTTACAGAGAACTTCATGGTTTTTAACTAGGCAACACTCCAATATAGCCAGTAGACAAGGTTTTCCAGCTATTTAAGCAAAGATTAGAATTTCATTTATTTTCTGTTTTCATCAGTTCTTTCAATTTAGGTAAGAAAAAAATTACAAATTGCCTTTCACTTTGCTTCATTCAGTGTAAAGGAAGTAGTACAGGTGAGCACTCAGCTCAGCATTCACAGGGAAGCTAAATAAATTACACATTCTCCTCTTTCTCCCACTGGAAACTTTCTCATAATACTTGTTAACTGTAAGGATGGCTCAGTTGGTCCCTAGACCAATATCAAGAAAGAGGTCACTGCTTTGACACAGGTGGGAGAGTTACCGTTTTGACGAAATATATAGGAATGCATTAAGTAATATCAGCATGTCCTGTTAGTAACAGCTGTATTTTAAAATACACAGACCAACATAACAGAAATCAAGTCATAGTGTCTACAGTACATACTATACAGTACATACTAAAGCTCCTGGCAGAAGCTTTAACAGAAAGAAAAACTAAACTTAGGTAGTGCAACTCAAGAAAAGGGATGTCATTCCACATTGCTGTTTCTGTAGACACCTGAGCGGACACAGAAAGGAGGGTTTAATCCAGTGGCAAACATATGCCTTTAGGACATTTTTTTTTCCTACCACAACTTTGTAATAAATAAGCACATTTATTTAGGCATTCAGTACAGTCTGCTCCCAAAATATATTATTTTTTCTTAATTATTAGAGAGAATATAACTTGAAATTTCATACTGTTGAAAAATTCAGTGTCTTATTTCATCAAAATAAAATATTACCTATGACTAACACCAATCTGGGAACTAAAGAATCAAAAGAACAGTAATAGAAGGTGCTATTTCCTACCTACCCCCAGGTATGTAAGGATGTGTATGTGAATGCACAAAAACATGAAAATGGAAAATAATAATAAGCAACTGCTGCCAAACTCCTAAAACTTCAATAAGAGACATTAGTAAAGTAAATCAAATGATGGATGGGTTTGAAGTGGTAATTAAAAAGATCAAACAAAATTGCAAAGCAATTGTAACTAAAAATCAGATGGCAAAATATTATGATTTTTATTATATAAAAGGAGTAAATATGAAAGTCTTATGTCTCAGACTATCTAAGGCCTTGTTACATTGTAAAATGAGTCCCAAATTCTAAGTCACCTACTGAGCCTTTACACCAGAATATGATATTTATTATTTTCAAATTTAATTTATGTAACTTAAATTTGTCAGGCAATTCCAAAAATTGCCAAAAACTTTATTATATCAAACACATCTCCTTTAACATCTTATGAAATGTAAAGGAATGCAACAATGCAACTGAAATATAATACTGCGCCTAGGCCATGTATGTCTTTGTGATACACAACTTTACTTGATAACTTCAACTCTTTAAAATCAGGATTTAAGAGGAAAAATCATTAGGGCAGTTTAGTTCATGTAAATATCAACCACAGTAGTGTGAATTTCCCTTTAAAACTAGAAAAAAAAAGATGAGATCGTTTCATTCAAATTTTTGTAAAATTTCTGATGCATGTGAGCTTGCAAAAAAGCTAATTAGAACGTTATGAACTTGTTAACCAAAGTTACTTTATAAGCTCAAGGAAAACATTTTAAATTGTATTTCTCTTAAGCGCTGCTATCTTTTTCCTCCACAACAAAAGGTCACACTTCCAAAAGCAACGTGGTTAAAGTGTCCATTTTTGCAAGGACAATCTGTTATTTAGGTTAACCTACTGGTTCAGTAAGGCATTTTTAATGATTCACCTGGAAAAGGTAATATAACAGAATATTTTTAAGAGAAGATGATAAATTTTATTCAACATATGCCATCAATCAACTACACTCAGAAAAAGATGTCTAAGTAAAAGATCGGAAAGTCAATCTATCATTTTTTCACCCATCAAAAAGAGACAAAGATATGATTGTGTTCAACTAGCTGTGAAGCAAAATCATTAAAAAAACAGAAATCAAATAGTTTCATATTCAGTATATAGGCACCAAAATTTTAATTTCCAGCTGTTAAGATTTTCTTCTAATTCACTTTATGGATTAATTACAGAAAGCTTATCTCTACAGGATTAATTAAATTACTCATTGGTGAAAAGATTTTAGCTCAGAAGTTTTTATGGATAACTTGCTGAAGTCACTAGTCTACCTTACCTGCTGCTGTATTTCTGCTCACTGTTGCATGTGGCCAAACAGAACATGCTCTGATCAAGTAGGTGTATCATATCTACTTAATAAGTTTTAGAGTTGGCAATAGGTTAAAGGCACAAAGCTGTATTTCGGTAGTATTTTTTCTTATTACTTATTTGTAGAAGAACCCATTTACTTTTGGATTCTGCTTAAATGATTATTAAAAAACTGCAAATTTCCATGGGCAAAAAATTAGATGAATCCTCTCCTTCATATGCCTTTAAAGACATATAAATGAACGTTTTGGGGCTTTTTAGTTACTGGATTTATAAATGACATAATTGGAATGCACTACTAAGGACCCTTTTAGTTTAATATTTATAGCCATTTCTTCATATTTTCTTTAAAAAGCCATCATTAAGGGATTTCTTTTCTATGCATGGCTCAGCAATTCATAAAACCAAACAGCAAACCGAAACTCTAAGCCAGTTCATTTATTTCAGTATATATTTTGGAATATAATGGCATTATTAAAAATATCATTTCCTCTAAGCTGATAATGCTATAAGACTTTACATAAACTTGTGTTTTTTTTTGAAAAAAAATCTCATTGTTTCAACCCCACCTATTTAACACACAAGGAAAATGCAATTTATGTGTAACATCTGTTCCATTAACTTAAACTGAAGTACCTCATGGGACCAAACACTAAGAAAATTTAAATACAAATGCAGTAATCTGTATGCACACAAAATTATCATTCTATAAATATTTATTATGACATGGATAGAAATGAAGAACCAGCAAGACTAGAAATTACTATAGGTGTGGTAGTATTCTTTCTGGAGACACCTTTATTTAAGAATCATGTCGGCATTTAGGATGAAAGTAACTGCAAAAGTGTAACTAAAATTATTATCTTTAGTTTTCAGTTCTTACTATTTAAAGGCGCCATTAGGTCATACAATGTCCAAGATTTCAGGAACCAACTGATCAATTTGGTTTTTAATATCCAATGATTTTCTTCAGCTTTCATGATGAAACTAAACTTACAGAAAAAAAAAATAAATAAAGAGTACACGGAAAGGTATAAACAGGAATTCCAGTTCATCCTCCCTTATAAAGACTGGTGAGCCGCTCTAATTCTTTACAGTTCTCCATGCTCAAGGCATCTGCTTTCTTTTTAAGTCGATCATCACGGTATACTTTTGCTGCATATTGCATATCTGTTTCTGTTAAATAAAAAGATTTTGCTGTTAAATAACAACTTATGCTATGATAATTTAAAAGCTTAAACAAATATTTCATGGAAGATAGTCAACAGATTTCTACTAACTTAAGGGGAAAAAAAAAGAAAAAAAGTACTATCCCTAAAAGCCATTTTGGTAGAAAAACTTTGGAAATTGGAAACTTTACCTAAAAGCCAACTTGTAAAAGAAACACAGCAAAGAAGTAAGGATGGAGTCGTGTGGACTCATGCCAGCGTCTTCTGCTTCCACTCTTAGTCCCAGCAATTTAAAACCTGGTATGACCTTTCTCACCCTGAGAATATTTTATGCTAAATACCCTCATGGTTATTTCTGCTGTGTTTTTTCAGTTAAGGTTCCAGATGATCTCAAGATGTCAGTATAAAAACTTAAAAATTATGCTCTTAGTTTACTTGTATTTAAAATATACAATAACAATACAGAAGAAACTGAAAAAGGTTTCATATTGTAACAGCATTCAGCCTTATATTTACTTCACTGTGTGGGTAACACAATGATAAATAATACATGGTTACAAATAATTCTTCAGCAAGAACCCCTTGTTTTTTCTTGTTACTCTCAGCCATGTCACCATTTACTAGCATTTCTAAAGGGTGGGAACACTCAAAGACAATACAATATAAAAAGGGAAATTAGCATTTACTTTCTAGGAAACAGTGATCAAAGGAAATAATATCTTTGGACCACAATCAAAGCATACAGGAAGAATGTAAGAGTCTATTTTCAATGATCTCCAGAAACAACAATTTATTTATAAATAATGAAGTTGTGAAATCTACTTGAGAGCATCTGTGGTAGCAGCTAATACCCGGAACACCTAATCCCACACTGCAGTGCTTACATTCAAGTCCTAGCACTGCTCTCAAGGTCGCCTTCCTGCAGTGCATAACCTGGGAGGCAGCAGCTGGCAGCAGCTGGCAGCTCAAGCAGCTGGTCCACCATATCCATATGATACCACATGGGAGGCCTGGACTCAGCTCCCAGCTTCGGATCCTAGCCTGGCACAGCCTCAGCTGTTATGGTCATCTGCAAGTGAACCAGTACTTGGGTGATATCCACAATAACACAAGTATTTATTAAGTCCTTATGATGTGCTAACTAGTGTGTTTTAAGCAATCTGTATAGAAGACATATCACAGCTATTCTTTGGTGCCCATGGGAGACTTGCTTCAGAACTCTCTTTGGAGATTAAAAAAAAAAAGGCACAGTGTTCATATATAACCTCCACATCTATCTCACATACTTCAGATCATCTCTGCACTACTTGTAATACTTAATGAAATGTGAACACATGTTCAATACAAATATAATCCTTCATTTTTCTTCAACTACTTCAGTGTCAGACTGGATGAATCACACAGGGGGCACTCTCAGACACAGATTATAAACATCTCATTTAGGTATAAAGTTTCAATTTTATATCAGGTTATTCCCTTTCCTTGTGTAGGGAAATCTACAATAATCACAGATTGTGACTAAGTTTTAAAAAGTTAAAATTTGACAAACTTACTTTGCTGCCTTTCTTTCCAGCAATTATTTCGAATATTAGTCACATAATCTTCTTCCACACTCTTTTCCACTTTTTGCAATAACATTCCTTTATATTCATTTTTAAAGTCCTTGTTGACATAATAAACAACACCCAAGTTTTCTGTCCGCATTTTAACAGTCAGACCTGATCCACTGTAAAACAGAAGCATAGTACTTATTATCTTGATTAAAACTAGGCATTCGAATATGCTACTATAAACCAAAATAATTCAGTTAATTTTAGTAATAATCTACACACCCTCAAATTGCCTAAATCAGCATTTCAAGTCATTAAAAATCCTACTCTTTTAATACACTATACTCCTACAACATGCTTTCAAGTTTTAGTTAATAAAAATCTTACTTAGAAGAAATGGTCATTTTCATTTTGAAATCCCGTGGGGTTTTTTTTAAAGAATTATTTATGTTTTATTGGAAGGCAGATTTTACGGAGAGAAGGAAAAACAAAGATAAAGAACTTCCATCTGCTGGATCACTTCCCAAGTGGCGCCAACAGCGGGAGCTGATCCGATCCAGAGCCAGGAGCCTTTTCCTGGTCTCCCATGCTGGTGCAGGGTCCCAATAGTTTGGACCATCCTCTACTGCTTTTCCAGGTCATAAGCAGGGAGCTGTATGGGAAGTGGAGCAGCTGGGACATAAACCTGTGCCCATATGGACTCCTGGCATGTGCAAGGCAAGGATTAAGCCATAACCATCGCGCCAGGCCCAATTCAGTGTTCTTAATAATGTAAAATTATTGACAAAATGATTTTTGCAAAGTTTCCTTTACATTAGCTAATTATAATAAAATTGTTTAGAATGGTTGTGTTTTGAATTTCCCTTATGTCCTGACCTTTTTCATAAAATACATGTCAGGGAAATACTTCACATAATAATTTCATTTGCTTGTATTTAGTCAATATCTTAAAAATAAAAAAGCATCCATTTCCCCCTTTACAACACAAATTTTTGTGCAATCACTACTTTTTCTGTCTTTAAAGAATTTTTGTCTTTCTTCTAAAGTATCTTTCATCTTTGATATCAACACATTACCCACCACTTTAAATTGCTATCAATTTAATAAATAGCCCCTGTTCTTATTCAGTGGAACAAAAGTATAAACAACATAATATAAATTTATCACTTAAGTAGCAATTTTTAAAACTAGAGGTTTTAAATAAAATTGGCTTAAAAGCTTAAAAAGAACATAAAAGCTTTAAGGAAGCAGATAGAGCAAAAATTCATTTACAGAGAACTTCACTGTTAACTACTTACGATCTGGGATATAAGGAATAAGGAGGATTAGAGATCATCAATTGGCTTAATAATGACACGAGGATCAATACAATAATGGGCATCAGCTGGATAAACACAGAAAAACCTCCCTATAAAAAAAATCACCAAAGAATAGCAAACTGTAATATAATTGTGGTTGTCAATAACCCAACAATTGTCATGCATTTCTGGCAGTAAAAATAGCATTCAAGATCACCTCGCTCACTGCTTCAAGTCCGCCTGATCATTCTAAACCCCTGGGGTGATTGTTAAAAATACAACTCTCCAGGCATCATCAGTTCTGGTTTGAAAACCACTGAGGTAATGTGATCTCGTTTTTTGTGGATGAAGTCTTATCTCTCTATTTCTCTTACATACACAGTGACTTATCAGCAAGTTGCAGGTTGTAAAACTATTTTTACCTTGTTTTTGAGGGTGGAAGATGGGAGCTGATGAGGGCAGAGCAGGAGCCCAGGCCTTTTAATTTCTAGTCTAGTGTTCTTTCCATTTACCTTTCCACTTCATGTAATTTAACTGCTATAGGCAATTAGGTATAACTGTATTAGAAAAAGGAGTTATTTCCAATTTAAGTTTTTCAGTATATTAATTAATTTCTCTAGGACCAAGAATAAGAGTTTTACTGTAAAAAGAGTAAAAAAATTAAAAAAAAAAAACATGAACAGCACCACTGTGTCTTTTTAGAACCACAGAACACCAAATCCATAGGGGTCATACTGTCCAGCCACTTCCCCTCCCCGCCTCTGTCCTTGTCCCTCCCACATCCTTAAAGGACCTCTCTGGTCTCTACTGAGTGCCTCTGGTAAGAGAAAACTCATTGTTATTTTTCAAAACAACTAGCCCTAGTTTTAGACAACTCTAATAGTTTTTCTTGAGCTGAAGTTTGCCATTTTGTGGTTTCTAATCATGTCATAAACATACATCTCCTCTTTCTTCTCTTTCACGTCTACTATGTCGATGTTGATGTGGATGGCTATAACCAGCTCGTCCATTGGAAAATGAATGTACACTTCCTAGAAATTTGAAAACAAGAGTAAATTAGGGAGTGCAATTATGTTAGGAAAAATTAAACTTTCTTTTACATTATTATTTTTAAATTACTGAAGTACTACATGTCCTCTCCTTTCCTAAATGAAGGGTAGACAGAAAAAGGATTGCCACTTCCCATACTCTGCCTGCTGCAGAGCAAGGCAGAGGTTTCCTCTTTAGAAAACCTCACTATGAGTTCCTGTAACACTGTACACATAGGTGATTTTTGTCTTCCTTATTTTTACCAACTTTGGAACCTTACTTTGAAACTTTGTTATTGACATTTATCAAATGAATCACAAACGTCTCTACAAATCAAGAAAGTATTGTAGTTGGCTTTCAAAAAAATAGTATATAGTACAGTAGAGGTAGATCACAATATGTCTAAATATTCTCTTGATAATGGAGATGCAATTTGTTTTAAAAAAATGACAAATCAGAAATGACTACCACTGATAAGTTACATCATAACTAGCAAAAGGAATGTAAACTATCTTCTAGAAAAAAACTAGTACTGCTTGAAAGTTTTCTGACTACGACTAAGCATTTTCATCAAAATTACTAGCTTTAATATTTTTCCTGTGAGAAAATTACATATTCTAATAGGTGAAAACACAAGTTATTCATTCATTCATATTTATATATCTTTCTTCTTTAAGGATGCTTTGTAAAAATGTCCTATTAATGAAAACAATCTTTTTCAATAACATTCAGAAGAGGTTCCAAGGCTAAATCATATTAATACATTCATAAAAACTCTAGTTTGTAAATGATGTTTAATTTCATACCATAAGCAAATCCTATAAACAAGGCTAGAACCATAATTTTAAGAACCTTAACTATTCTCAAAGAAAAGTAATTTCTACATAAGTAACTTATAATAAGTTTAAATTCAATACAACTTTCATTTGTATGATAAAATCTATCCATTTATTAGCATCAAAGCAACTTTTGTTTCACTTTGACAGCCTAGTTCAATTAATTATTTCTATCTTAACATAGTTTTAAAACACTTTATTGATAACCTACCAAGCAATACTTTTACTGTTTCAGTGGAAATACAGATGAGGACCTCCACATAAATCCAAATCAATAATCTACAATTGAATTAGTAAAATAGCTACAAAGATTCCCATGGAACCAAAGACAAATAATCATCCGGGGAAAAAGACATCCTGTGTATGTAACAATACTTACTAGGACACTGGATTGTCACTGGATTTCTGCCTTACTTGACCAATTCTTTACATAAAGAATAACTGTACTTTAAATTTTTAAATAAAAATATCTTTTGGAAAAGGCAAGTATGGTAAAATGAATAACCTAACATTTTTCTATGGCCACTAAAAACCCATCACAGGATCACAAACTCTACAGGAAATTCAGGAGAGAAGGTAGATGAATTCTTAAACAGTCCCAACAGGAGCAGGGGGGATCCAGCTTCACAAAACACAGTATTTACAAGTAACCGTGAAGTACCTGAAGGAAATCCACCACCAAAAAATATATTAAACAAGTCTTCTGGAGTTATGTCAGCTTCACAGCCTCTATGAAAATTAAATCTTCCATTGTTTTGATGATTACAGGCTTGTTCTTCACTGCCTGTGAGGTCATACTGTTTTCGTTTTTCTGGATTGCTTAAAACAGCATAAGCATTTCCAATTTCTAAAAAAGAAGCAAAAGCTGGTAAGCAGAGTTCTTACTCCATCATATAAAAGACACTGCTGTGTTAAAAATGATCTGAAACTGTAATTTCTTGTAAAAATTTACATGGTTTGCAATTAAATGTATTATTTCTCCCTAAGTTTTTTTTTAAAGGTCTTTGTCTAGCATGACACCATCTCTTTCAAAGATTTATTTTTTTTTATTATTTTTTTCATTGGAAAGGCGGATATACAGAGAGGAGAGACAGAGAGGAAGATCTTCCGTCCAATGATTCACTCCTCAAGTGAGCGCAACGGGCTGATACTATGCCGATCCGAAGCCAGGAGCCTCTTCCGGGTCTCCCACAGGGTGCAGGTTCCCAAAGCTTTGGGCCGTCCTCGACTGCTTTCCCAGGCCACAGGCCCATATGGGATCCCAGGCGTGCAAGGCGAGGACCTTTAACCACTTGCGCCACCGCGCCGGGCCCCTCCCTAAGTTTTATATTTAGACAGGCAAGTCCCCCTACTACCTTGGAATCAAAGGACTAACTAATCTTTCTTAATACTGTTCTGTATTCTCTGAAAAAAAATTTTTTTAAAGATTTATTTATTTTATTGGAAAGGCAGATCTATAAGGAGAAGGAGAAACAGAAACATCTTTTGTGTATTGGTTCACTCTTCAAATTGCTGCAACAGCTGGAGCTGAGCCAGTCCAAGACAGGGGCCAGTAGCTTCCTCAGGGTTTTCCTATGTGGATGCTCCAATACTTTTCCAGGTCACAAGCAGGGAGCTGGATGGAAAGTGGAGCAGCCAGGACACAAACTGATGCCCACAAGGGATCGCAGTGCAGGAAGGATGAGGATTAGCCAATCCAGCCAGTATCACAGGTGGCATGCATGCTACAACTCAGGCCTCAGTATGCACCATTATCAGCATCTCTCAACTGGCAGGCTCTGCACCCCATATCTTATTTGGTTATCCATTATTGTCTTCAGTTTACAAATGAAGAAAATGAAGCACAAACATTTAAAATAACTTACTCAAAGTTAAATTCTTAACACATTAAGTACTATGGCCCAACTCCATGCAACCATACCATGACCATCCCATAAATCTTTTTGTGTACATTGGCATTCAGAATGAGCTATCTTTTCATTTTATTCCTAAACAATTTATTCTGCAGAGAACAGTAAACTCCAGTAAAACAGGGACTACTACAACATTCTCAGAGTAAAGTGTAGACTGAATTATTTTTGAGTAACACAGACAATCCTGTTTATTTCACTTTTCTACTTGATGATTTCAACAAAGAATTTTCTTTCCCACTTTATTAGCCCTGTTTCCAGCAGTATACCAGTCACCAGAATGACTTCTTGAGGCAATTTAGAAATGCTCACACTTTGACTCTACAGTAAAAATATCCTATTCTATGATTCTTGTAGTAAGTACAATGAAATACATTAAAAAAAAAAAAAAAACCTTTTTGGATTCCAAGGGCACTGTCAGATCAAAGAGATGCTTATTAGGTGTTTATTTTGGATAGCTAAACATGACATTGAAATTAATTACATACAGCCACCCAGGAGCTTTTATTCTAAGAGTGTCCCAAAAGCTGATATTCAGACATAGCTTTCAGGTGGGCTGTGAGTTTGTTGCATGAGAAGTTAGTTAGGTGGATATTCTATTTCTCTGATGAATGACCCCAAACGTTCTTGAGATTCCCAAGGAAATCTATGATTCAGAAATTTAGCCATTTGGTCCACGATGGTTGTGGCAATTTGGAGTTATAAGAGCTCTTTGGCTCTCTCTCTGATGTGCTGCCTTTCAAATAAATAATTTTTTTTTACATTTTGTTATTATTATTATCTTTTTATGATACAGTTCCATAGGCTCCTGGAATTCCCCTTATCACCTCCCCAATTCCCTCCCCGCCATCTAGTTCCTCTATATCATCACTAAAATATTGTTCTTCATACACAGTCATATGTCCATCATTGCGGGCATGGACAATGGCAGAGAGTCCAGCATCTTATTGTCAAGATATAGTGAACAGTTTCATTTTAAGTCCATCTTTGTCTGGAAGTAGAAATGCATATTACATTGTATCCTCACATCTGGATGTTAGTCTCCATTTCACAGCTATTGTTCATCCCCTTAAATGAAAAGTCATAATACAAAATCAACAATAGAAAGAAAAATAGAAATTTACAATTCCATGAAGTTAAATGACATGTTACTAGAGATGACAGTCTCCATTACACAGCTACTATACATCCCCTTAAATGAAAAGGCACAAAACAAAATCAACATCAGGAAGAAAAAAGAAATTTTTAACACCATGAAGTTAAATAACATGCTACTAAATGACTAATGTGTAGCTGAAGATGAAAATCAAGAGCCTTCTTGAAGAAAATGATGCTGCTATATGATCTACGAGTCATTGAATGATTTAATCAGAAGAAAGCATTTTGAAGAGATGAAACCAACAGAAAACAACAAAACCCATGAGATATTGCTTCCGGTGATTTTTGCTGGTGAAATGTGTCTCTTTCAGACAATAAATAGAAGGGTTTTATTTTTAATCCAGTAAGCTAGTCTATGATGTTTGATTAAGCTTAAGCTATTTACATTCAGACTTTAATATGTATGAATGCTACTTTGGCCCTGTTATTTTAGGAATGGGTCGTTCATTGGTTTAGTCTTCTGTTGTTATGTTACTGGGATGTTCTTCCCATTTGCTATTGGTTTTGGTAGGTGCTATTCCTCTTCTCTGTCAAGAGAACATCTTGAAGTATCATTTGTAGGGCAGGTTTGGAAAAGGCAAATTCTTTTAACTTTTCTTTACTGTGGAAGAATTTTATTTCATTTTCAAAGATGAAAGAAAGCTTTGCTGGATATGTTATCCTAGGCCGACAATTCTTTTCTTTTAGAATCTGGAATATGTCATTCCATTCTCTTCTTGCCTGTAGAGTTTCCTGTGAGAGATCTCCTGTGAGTTTAATTGGCATTCCTTTATATGTCAATTCATTTTTTTCATGTGCATATTTAAGGATCTTTTCCATGTGTTCAATTGAAGAGAGATTGATAATCATGTATCTTGGTGAAGATTGCTTTTGATCAAGCCTGTTGGGAGTTCTGTGCCCCTCCTGGATCTTGTTTCCCAATTCTTTCTCCAGATTAGGGAAATTTTCCTTTATTATTTCATTAAATACATTTGCAAACTCAGCTTCTCTTTCTGCACCTTCTGGGACTCCCATAACTCTTATATTTGGCCTCTTAATAGTGTCTTTCAATTCTTGAATACTTGTTTTTGCCTGATCCAGCTCTGCTTCCAGCTCTTTGTTTGCTTCCCCCTGATGACAGGAAATATCTTCCAATTTTTTTTTATCTTTCTGCTTGCTTCATTCTACTTTGGAGACTCTCCATTGTACTTTTAATTTGCTCCACTGTGTTCTTAATTTCTGATATATCAGCCTTGATTTGCTTTATTGCTTCCTTAAATTCTTTGAACTCTTGTATGTGCTTCTCATTGTTGATCAGAAGCTTTAAAATGAGTCTTATGGATTCTGTGTCCTCCATTTTCTCTATGTCTTCCTCAGTGAACTCTGAGGTTGGCATAGGGTTTTGCTCCTTTGCAGGGGAGTTTTCGGTAATATTCATTTGCCTTTGTTTCTTCTTCTGGTCTTGGTCATTGTACTTATGGTTAGCAGAGTCTTCTCCACAGGTCTACAATGCGATTTTACTTATTGCAGTTGGTACACAACTCTTTGCTTGCAGCCACTTGTGCCACAACCTCCAGTGAGTGCCAGGTCTGGGTTCTTATGTTAGATTTCCACTGTGGTCTCCACAGTCCCAACTCCTGGCTCACCACCCTCTACCTTCTGTGATACTGTGCTGAGGCTGCACTGTTGCCTCTGCAACCTTTCTCCTACTTCCGGTTGGGGCAGGTCCCAGGATTAAAGAAATACCAGGTGTCCTATCTAGTTAAGTTGTTGGTGGTGCTGATCTTGTTGGAACCTGTTGGACGTTAGATCTAGGTGCTACTCGAACCTATTTTGACCCAGACGATGTCACAGTTGGTATTATTTTCCTGCAGGACCAGTGCAATCCACAGAACTCAGTGAGTTCTTGCGAGCTCAGCACATGCACAGTTCACTGTTGTCTCCTGCAGTCCTAAAGCTATTGCCACAGAGTGTAAAATGGCATCTGACTACTAGAGTTCTTGATCTGCTGGCAGTCAAATCTGAGGGCTACCCAGACCTGTCTTGGGTGGAACCTGTAGAATGCCACATTGCTGCAGTGCACTGAGTCAAAAATGAGTTCACTTCCAGCTCAATTTATGCTCAGTCCTCTCCCTTGCCCTTTCCTTCTTACGCAAAATGGCACCCAATTCGACTCTAGGGGGCTGACTGGGCTGTGAGATCCACCCTGTTCTCGCACTGCCTGTCTGGGATCTGCTGCTCTGTCTCTGCTCCTGGTCAAATCAAATGGACCAGCAGGATGGACAGTTCTTTGTCTGGGTTTACCCCCCAAGCTCCCAGTGAAAGTCCCTTCCCACCTGGTTGCTGGTGGAGTTCCGGCTGCTGGTGAAGTTCAGATCGCCGTTATTTGAATGCTGCTGGAGTTTCAGTCACTGCAACACCACACCATTGTTTTCGCTGCTTTCCTGTTTCTGTTAGTCTCCAGGTACCCCTCTGCTGTTGTTCTGTCCTCTCCTATTTCCTGGAATGTGTCCTCTCTGCTTCATCCTGATTAAATGTTTCTCCGTCTGTTCAAACGTGTCCTTACCCTATTCTGCCATCTTGATTCCGCCCCCAAATAAATAATTCTAATCACTGATATATTTGAAAGATATTTTTGAAATACTAATATAATCCATAGTTTTGTGTGTATATATATTCTATACATCTCAGATAATTTATATACTATGACCACAGTAATGTTCTGTTTATTTATTTTGTGGTATTCAAAAAGCTTACAAAACACATTGTCATCTTATTTTTATTTATTACAGCAAATGGC